CTAGTTACATCAATCTCTTTTTTCTTCTTTCTCATTCTATAGTCTTTTAAAAAGATGTCTTCACCGGGTATAGAATTCTTGGCTAACAGTTTATTTTTTTTAGTATTTTAAAGATGGTCTACTATTGTTTTCTCACTTGCATTGTTTCTGATGAGAAATCTTTCATACTTTGTTGTATACATAAGGTATTTTTCCTCTGGCTGTTTTAAAAATTTTAATTACTGGTTTTGAGCAATTTGTTTCTTGTGCTTGGAATCTGTAGGATTCTTGGATCTGTGGACTTACACTTTTTAATCAAATTTGAGAACATTTTAGCCATTTCAGATATTCTTTTGAAACTCCAATTATATGTACACTAGACTGCTTGGTAGCTTGAGGTTGTTTTCACTTAAAAAAATTTTCTCTCCATTTCATTTTACATAGTTTCTATTGTTATGCCTTCAGTTCCACTAACCCTTTCTTCTGCAATATCTAATATCCTGAGAATATCATCAGTGTCTTTAAATAATTTCATACACAACAGTTTTCACATAGAAGACTGATTTGGGTCTTTTTCATATTTTCCATGTCTCCACTTAATATGTTCAATCTTTCTTCTAACTTTTAAAACATATGAAATATAGAAAAATAACTGTTTATGTCCTTGTTTTCTAATACTACCATCTGTGTCATTTTTGGGTCAGTTTCTATTGATCAATTTCCCTCCCCATTTGGGGTCATATTTTTCTACTTTTTATGTCTGATAATTTTTGACTTAATGCCAGACATTGTTTTGCCTTGTTGAGACCTGGATATTTTTATATTTCTACAAATATTTTTAAGCTTCCTTCTGGGATGCAGTTAAATTGCTTGAAAACAGCTTGGGTGTTTGGGCTTATTTTTGAGATTTATTAGGTGGAACTAGAGTAGCATTTAGTCAATAGCTAATTATTGCCACTACTGAGGCAAGATCATTTGGAATATTCTCAACACTTTGAGTTTGGAAGTTTTCTAGTCAGTCTGGTTGGAACAGAAACTATTTCTGGACCTGGGTAAGCTGTAGATAATGTTCTTTTCTTTCCTCTCTGGTCTTGGGTAGTGTTCTTCCCACACAAACTGAATACTCAAAAAGGATGCCTTGCAGATATCCATATACACTCTCTGTGCAGCTTTCTCCTGACACTTTGCCTTGTGAACTGTAGCCACTTTGGACCCCAGAACCCTTAGCTTCAACTTCTCCATCTGGGGTCCTTATCCCTGTATTAGAGCCTAGAAATTCTCTAGGCACTAAGTTGAGCAATCATGGGCTTACCTTATTTTTTTCTCTGTCTCTCAGGGTTCACTTTCCATTGCCTTATGTTCAATATCTTGATATACTTAATCCAGGTATTATTTTTTTTTAAGAGAGGAAAATCCAGTCCTGCTACTCCATCTTGGTTGGAAGTAGAAGTTCCACTAGTCTTTGAAGTAAAGCTATGATATCATGCCAGTCCAAATTCTGAATGTTTCTAAAATATGAGAAAATTTTCTTATATAATAGAAATGATTATAACAGCTAACAGTTAAAAACAATTCTTTAATATCTAATAGCTAGGTCATATTCAAATTTCCTTAATTATCTTGAGTGTTTTAAAAGTTGGTTCAAATTAGGCCTGAAACAAGGCCCACATGTTGTATTTGATTTCTGTGTCTCACATTTCTAGAACAGGCTCCCCTCCATTTCCTTGTCATTAAGTCGTTGAAGATACCAGATTTGTCTTTAGGAGGTCTACATTTAGCATACGGCTGATTGCTTCCTCATGGTGTCATTTTACTTGTTCCCATTTCACTTATTAGATCTAGACCAAACTTGTCAAACCCACAGCCTGCGAGCTGCATGCAGCTCAGGATGGCTTTGAATGTGACTTAACACAAATTCATAAACTTTCTGAAAACATTGAGAATTTTTTTCTAGGTCATCAGCTATCATTAGTGTCAGTATATTTTATGTGTGGCCCCAGCAAGCCAAAGATTGGATACCCCCTGATCTAGATGTTAGAACTATTAGACTGACCAGGTTCAGTCTCAGCTTGACAAGCATATTTTATAGATGACCTTGTGTACTTCACATTGCATTATAGCAGAAGGCATGCAATGTCTGAGTCACTTTTAGAGATGGTAGGATTGATTAGTGGATTCAGGTAGTGGCAGCTTGTGCCTTCCACTTTTAAATTCTCTATCAACCCTTTCTCCTAATGGTTTCAGTATTCATTGATTATTGTAGCCTAAAATCCATTAGCATTTGTGAGATAGTTATTTTCTGACCCCAACATTACTTCTCCATTTATCAACTGAGTCTTCTGGAAAAGGAAACTTTCCTTATAATCAGGATGATGTTTTTCTTTAAAACGAGCAATACACACACACACACACAGAGAGAAATGAATTGATGTTCTACGGTGTGTGTGTGTGTGTGTGTGTGTGTGTGTAACATTGCCCTGCCAAAACCAAATGCTATCTAAAAGTGAGTCAAGACAGGAGACTGCTAGCCTGCAGTCTTGGTGTTCTTTTCCTGATTTCCACAATAAGCCTCACCTCCAGCAGCAGCAGCAATGGAGATCTTAACGAGGCTACCCATTCCAGCCTCATGCAGCTCTAATGTTGCAAAGTTCTTTAAGGTGCTTAAATATGGCTAGATGTTTTAAGAAGTCCAGTTACTGATGAAGCCAAAGTGTGGCCATGGAAGGATGTCCAATTAAGATTAACCTGTTACCTTCACCTGCTCTCTCAAAAGCCACCACAAATACACAATAAATAAGGAATACAGTTACATGCAAATCACCTTCATGGCAAGTCCTCTAGGCATCATTTCTTATTGATGGCCACCTCTAAGCCCCTCCTAAACAGAAATTTTAAAGTTGCCACTGAATGTAAACCTTCTTCCAGAGTACAGGCCTTTATATATTTGTATATGAAAATATAGTCAATTTCTCCTTGCCCTCCTGGAAAGCCTGATCTTGTCTGACCTTTTTAATGTGTGGCATCTTGAACCTCTTGTAGTACCTGGACAGTACAGAGGACACTGGATATCATCACCCTCTTCATTTCTGCTACCCTACTTCTATTAATTTGGCAGGGATACAAAATTTGAAAAATTCTAATGTGTATTTTACCTCTGCATTTCCCATTCCATCAGAGGCATTCATTTATCTTGAGATGTTTAGACTATTACAGCAAGTATAAAAAGAGGAAATATGCAGTGTCTGAGTTTGCAGCAAAACAAGAATCATAGTCAGATTTTGTCACTTGAGAAATGATTTTTTGTTTCTTAAACTCCAATTAAAATAAAAATCAGTAGCAGAGAGAACTTAGGAAATGAAATATTTCTCCCACACCTGGAAAATGTGGAAAGGATGAAAGATGAGGAGAGGAGTTGTGTGGAAATAACAAGGTCTAGACAGGCATGAAGGAATTTAAAAACATAGAGGCTGGTAGCCTGCCAGTGCTGCCCGTAGAGCTGGGCAAGAGGGTCTTCTGCACTTTAGAGGATCCCATTCTGGTGCTTCTCTCCATAAGGTTAGGAATCAGTGGGGTCCCTTTCTAGACTATACCCAAAGTTCTAGACTATAATCCAGAGATCCTGGAATTCTCTACTCCAGTCCACTTACAGAACCTGCCTGGGCTTCTTCTCTGGGTCATTTTTTGATTAGGCTGCCAAAGTATGTGGTCCCCTAGGTCCAAGGTGTGATGAAAGAGCAGTTTGGGGGAGCTGGAGGGAATGTGGAGCTTAGACAAAGGGACTAGGATTCCTTCACAAATGTGAGTTCTCAAGGTGTGGAAAGGATTCTGGGGTGGGCGTACAAGAGCCAGCAGTGGGCTGGGAACTTTATAAGGCCAAGATTTCTAAATGGGAACCTGGCCTTCTAGCGTCGGGATCCTTTAAAGCACCTGAAACGGTAAGTTGGTGGGGGCTGGAGGCTGGTCACATGTTGTGAGTGAAGGTTGCCTGACTCCGCCTGTGTGGAGTATAAAGAAGCCTGTGCCCAGATGGAGAGGGTGTCGATAGGCAAAGAGAGAAGATTAAGCAGGAGTGAAGGGGACCACACCACTGCCCCTCTACAAGAAGAGAAAGTGTATGTTTATCCTGTGAATATGCCCAGTGACTGTAGGGAGCCAGGGCTGGCAAGTCAACAAGCCAGGAAGAAATCTCTTTGCTTTGTCTACTCTGCTCCAGCCCAGCAACTGCCACTGCCAAATCATGGCCTGGAGTGGAAAATGCAGTTAATTTTGAATTTGTGCTATCCAGCTATTTTATATGGCTTGCTATTTTTCAGTTCTGTCATTATGAAGTTATATTTGTCAACCTAAAAACAGAGAAGATCAGAATTTGCTAGTTTGATTTGTAACTTAAAAATATTTAGATGTGGTAATGTGGGATAGCCCTATGACCTGCTTTTCCAAGCATAGCCTAGAAAAGGCTGCGGTCCTAAAACAAACAGACTTTCGGCTTATATATCCAGGGTGTCCAGGTAGCATTAAAGTGGGAAAGGAGGTAGCTATAGGAAGAGGAGACAGTACTTCAGGCATAAACAAGATCTAAGAGTTTCTGCATTTGCCAGATAGTAAATGTGCATGGGGAGGGGAAGCTGGGGAGAGCAGAGGATACCCAGATGGAGTCACTAAGATCAGCTGGATTGAAAGAAGCCTGGGATTGGAGTGAAGAGGCCATAGAGTTGAAATCAGAGGCAAATAGTAACCCACCTCAAAAGGCCGCACTAGCAGCAGACACCTCAGGAGGCACCAGTCCAGGGACCAGTCCAGATTAGTGGTGTACAACAGAGACCTCCCATGCCCCACCAAGACTCACATAAACCCAGACAGCAGGAAGCAGAAAAAAAAAAAGCCACTGTTGAAACTGGAAGAGACTGAGATTGTTAGCTAACACATTCAAATAGCCCTTTTCCTTAGCCTCCTCTCATCCACTGATATCCAAAGATATGGGTAAATAAAAATGAAATCCATTTGAGAAAATAAACGTTATATTTTCTTTGCATATTGGAGCTTTTATTATGGTTTCAATCCTGCTACCACAGACTAAGATCATATTAGTTTTTTGAGGGTAGAAGTAAAGATCACATTGTTGATTTATACTGAGCTTACTGTTAAGACTCCTATCTTTTATAAATATAAATTTGCAAATAATTATGGGGTCTCCACTACTTTTTCTACCCATGCTGCTTTTTCTCTATCAGTGATTGGTTCTCAACTTTGACTGTGCATCGAAACTACTTGGAGGGCTTGTTTAAAACACTAATGTCTAACCCCACTCCCAAAGTTTCTAATTCAGGAGGTCTAAGGTACAGCTAGAGAATCTGCACTTTCTAACAAGTTCCCAGGTGATGCTAATGTTTCCATCTGCAAACCAAACTTGGAAAATTAGTGCTCTAAGTCCTGCTTAATCATTATTCTTATTTCACTCTCACAGGCATACAGTTGGCATTAATTCATACAGCACATATAAAGAATTAACCTCCCCGCAAACTTATTAGAACTTGATTTCCACACATTATCAAAAATGGAATACCATTTTCTCCCACCTAGAATGAAAAACTTTGTATGACTGATAAAATCCAGTGTGGCAAAAGACATGAGGAAACAGGTACTCTAATACCCGTCATTGTGTTTATGAATGGCTGCACTTTCTGGATTGCAATTCTAGGCAGTAACTACCAATATTTTTATAGCATAAATCCTTTAGTCCACGAATTTCTTCCTAGGAGTCCTATAAAAATAAATAAGTGAATAAATGTTCACAGCAACATTTGTGAATTTTAAATAAACAACCTAAATTTCTCTTAATGAGAAATATTAAAATGCATTGAGTCATAAGTAAAAAGCATCTTCTGATTATTTCTATAATTGAATCACTGAATAACTGTCTACAGTATGTTCTGTAGTACAAAAAAGATATTCTGTAACGGATCTCATTTGCGGGTGTTGTAGTGTGATACTCAATTGCTAAAATTTAAATGACAAGATGAAAATCCATTAACAGGCCAGCATACTACTTAGTTGCTCTTTATCAAATTGATTTTAGCGATTGTTTTTCTTCACTCCTTAGAGATTTCATAAAGCTCTACCAAACTCCTTGACTTGCTCATGCAGGATTAAATGAGATGGAAATTGGCTTTGAGCCTAAATTCATAATCTTTTACTTTTACTTCACAATTTCTCCAGTGAATTATGTCTTTCATGTTCTCATTCATACTTTAAAACTTTTTGACACATTTATAGACTCACAAGAAGTTGCAAACAAATGTGAGATCTCACGTGCCACTCACCAGCTGCTTCAATGAGGACACCTTATATGCTGGTAGTGCATTATCAGTTGGTTCAGGGAATCCCACACATACTTTTAATGGCCACCCTTAATTTAGTTAGAGCCTCAAGATCTTTACTGAAAAGTTAGTAGAACAAACATGAAACAATGTGGAAAGAAGAGGATGAAAAATGATCACTTCAAAAAAATCGGCATAAAAAATGCTATTTCTGGAGACAGAAAACATGCACTCTAGTTACAGTACTGCTACTAATTATTAAATATCTTGTGAGTTAATTCACATTTGGAGCTCAGATTTATAATTTGTAAATGAGTTTGAGGAACTAAGTCACAATGGTCTTTTCCAATGCCACAATTATTACAAGTAGATGGTGTTTTACTATCAGAAGCCCATTTTCTGATCATATTTAAAATCTTAGTGTCAAGATAAAAGTATGCATTAGTACAACCTTCTTAGAAAGCAGTTTGGACAAAAAAAAAAAACCCTATCAACTTTAAATTGTGCACACTTTTTGCCCCAGGTACTCCTTATCTATAAATTTAAACAAACATGCAAATGGACAATGATACATTTTCAAAGATCTCATAGCAATATTTTTATAATTGTGAAAAATGGCAAAAACTGCAATTACTTTTGCACTGATCTAGTACATTTATGCAATGCAATACTATGCAACTATTAAAATATGGATATTGAAAGGAATTATATTGTTAAATGAAAAAGACTCACAGAATATTTAGCACCTCAGATCTTTATGAACAGTATACATACATGTATCTATGTTTGTATAAGTATACATTGTATTGTGATAAGTAATGCTTAAATGTACAGACATTTAAAGTATATTCTCTATTTTTATATCTCTATATGCAGAGATAAAGGTCTGAAAGATTTATGCAACAGTGGTGTTTATCTCCAGGAAGTATAGGCTGTGGGTATAATACAGGCTGGGATGGGGAGAAAACTATCACTTTTTCTTTAAATGATAAAACTAAATGTTCGTTTTAAAAATAATAGGTTCAAAGTGCAATAAGCTATATATATTTTTAAAATGTAAATATCTGAATAATTAAGCACCAGTAATCTCAATAGCACTTACTTAAAAGTTCATTTTTGGCCGGGCGCGGTGGCTCACGCCTATAATCCCAGGACTTTGGGAGGCCGAGGCGGGTGGATCACGAGGTCAAGAGATCGAGACCATCCTGGTCAACATGGTGAAACCCCGTCTCTACTAAAAATGCAAAAAATTAGCTGGGCATGGTGGCGCGTGCCTGTAATACCAGCTACTCGGGAGGCTGAGGCAGGAGAACTGCCTGAGCCTAGGAGGCGGAGATTGCGGTGAGCCGAGATCGCGTCACTGCACTCCAGCCTGGGTAACAAAGCGAAACTCCGTCTCAAAAAAAAAAAAAAAAGTTCATTTTCCCACTAACCTGAGATGCTGTCTTTACTGTATTCTAATATGCCATTGAGTCTATTTCTGGAATTCTTCTTTTCCATTGGACTTCTTATTTATGCACCAATACAAAACTTTTCGTTTATTTAACATTACAAATGCCCTCCAATATCCATACTTCATAGTATTGAGTTACATAAATGTATCATAATCAGTATCTTCTTTGTCACAATTACAAAAATGTGGCAGTGAACCCCTTGAAAATGTACCCTTGCCTATTTGCATGTTTCTTTATGCTAAATCTATAGATACAGACTCTCTGGGCCAAAAGTGTGCACACTTTAAAAAATTCTGACGGCTTCTGCCATGGAAGATTTAGAGTATGTTTTAGTGTCTGATAGGGCCGATCCCCTAATTCTTTTCAGTTTCCATGGTTATTCTAGTATATTCTCTCAATGAAATCATAATTTTTATTGAGATGGCACTGTATTCCCCTAAGGGGGAAACCATGTTTTGATGTTGTCTTTCTAACTAAGAATATCATGTATCGTTTCATTTGTTGGAATCTACATTTTTGTCTTTCAAGGTTTTTTTTTTTCCCCTCACATAGATTTTAGCCATGTCTTAAGTTTACTTTAATTTTGCTATCACAAAGGGGGTCTTCTCTTCAATTATCTTCTAACTAGTTTAGGTTTGTGTGTGTATAGTCTTGTTACTTTTTAGTAAATATTTTTATTAAGCTGTAATTATACATTTAGAAAAGTGCACAAATATACAGCTTGATAATATTCATAAGGTGAATGCACCTATGTAACCAGCACCAAGATCATGAAACAGAACATTACCAGCACCACAGAGTCCCCTTGTACCCTCTTTCAGTCCTACTGAGTTAAAGCCAGTTGAAAAATAATGTTTACTATATGGTTCCACTTAAATAAAGTTCAAAAACAGACAAAACTAATTGATGATTTTGATAGTGCTTACCTTTGGGAAGAGAGGTAGTGACTGAAAGGGGGTGCTGATTTCTGACACCGTATATAAATGCTGCCTGTTTTGAACTTCACTGAAATGGAATCAAAGCATGCACTTGTGTCTGGTAAAGCCTACTGACTATTTGTAAGTTAATTGTGTTTAATAGCTAATTTACTAAGTTTTTTTTTTACTGTTTAGTTTTTCAACAAGTTCCTTTAACCTTTCTAGATACATATTCATATCTGCAAATAGTTTTACCTCTTCCTTTCCAATTCACATGTCATTATTTTACCTATCTTCATTAGCTAAAACTCTCAACACATTGTTAAGTAGTAGAGGAGATAGTAGGCATATGTGTTGTTCCTGTCTTCAGCTGGAAAGTCTCTTCTGCTTTGAAATTTAAGATGCTGGCTTTCAGGCAGAGGTACAATGTTAATAGATTATTCATCAATTTCTACTTAGTATCTTTAACACAAGTGAGTGCTGAATTTCTATCATGTCTTTTCTACAAAGATGAAATCATATAATTTTTAAACTCTTAATATGATGAACATTAACAGGTTCTCTAGTATTGAATTACGCTTGCATTCTTATAATAAATCTATTTTAGTCATGATTACCTTTTGAAAGTGCTGTTGGATTGTTTGCTAATATATCATTAAAACTTTTCATTAATATTAATGAGATTGGTCTGTAATTTCTTTTTGGTACAATCTTTGTCAGGTTTTTAAATCAATGTTATTACATTCATTTTATAACATAAATTTAAGCGTTTCTTTTTTTGGCACTTTGAGGTTCAAGATTCTTTTCCTAGTCTCTAGATTGTTTAAGCAAGAATGGGATTATTTAATCTTAAAGGTTTGGTAGAAATTCCCTTGAAACAATCTGGGCTTGATGGTTTCTTTGGTAAGGGGTACTTTCAGCTATTTGTTCTTCTACGGTAATTGTTGTGACTTTATCTACCTAGAGTAAATTTCGGCAATTTGCATTTTTCTTAGTTTTCTAATTTACTGTGTAAAATCACTCAAAGTAGTCAATTTAAACAGATTTCCTGTTTTACTATTTCCCCCTTGTCATTTACATTTTTGTACTTGTGCTTCCTCCTTTCTTTCGTAAATAGGTTAGCTGGTAGTTTATCTCACTCAACTCCCCACACTACCCATCACCAACTTGGATTTATTGCCTTTTGTTTTGCTTTTATCTTTAATTCCTTCCTTCTGCTTTCTATTGGTTTGCTTTTTACTCCAAGTGTTTGATACTTGCTTAATTGTTTTTTCCTATTTTTACTGATAATTGTACTAATTGCTATACATTTCCTGTCATAATTGCTTTTTATTTTTTGGCAAATATTTTTTTTAATCCATCTTGTGGTCATGTCTTTCTGGTGTGCTCTCATTGTCTGTGAGGATGTTACTCTATTTATTCTCTTATTTCTTATGCTAAATTGAATGAAGTTGGACTATAATACTGGCTCAGTTACTCTTTTTTTCCCCTTAACTGAAATGAGTTTTTCTGTACTTTTAAGATGGAAGAGTGGCTCTAGGACGACTTCCACCTTCATGGCCGTAGAGCTCCCTTTTCATTTTCACAGTGATTTAAAAGATTATATATGTTTGTGTATATATATATATATACATACATACATATATATATACATACATACATATATATACATACATATATATATATACACATACATATATATACATACATACATATATATATATATAAAGTCTTTGTATCTTGGCCTTTCTTCCCAATATTTATCTAGACCTTCTCTTTCTTTTGTCCACTTTTACCCATCCTGCCTCATTTGGATTCTAATTCTGAAGTTTGCCCTCAGTGCTGGGCTTTGTCTCATTAGCTTCAAGGGGCACACAGTGTAAAACCCAGACTGCTCTAATGCAATCATCAGACCTTATCATCATACTGCATTAACATTCACCTGCAAATGGGATTCTGTAGAACACTTCCCAGTTTTAGTATCTGTTCTTAGACTGGCCCGCCGTACTTTGTAGTGAGAAACTGGGGGGAGTGTTGTAGTTCTCCAATTTGCAGAGCTGTCAGAAATCAGCTGCCTTCCTTCTACTTCTTCCCACAGATACTGAAACTATGTGGGTCAGTGGTTTCTCCTCACTCAGTTGTATTTTCAAGTTCTTAGAGATACCTTGTCATATCTAGCATTGTAATAGTGCCTGTGGCTATCCTAGTTGCTCTGTGTTGTTATGGGGAGATTAGAAAATACTGCTGTCATCATTTCCCCTGAGTTTAAACTGTAAAGACCTCGTTCTGTTGTAGAAGAGAGGCTTTAATTAAAAAAAGATTTTTTTTATATTCATTATAACAGAACCTATAATTAAAAATTTGCTGTATTCCAGATACTATTTTAAGTGCTTTATCTGTATTATCTCATTTAATCCTAAAACAATCTCCTGTGTGAGTTAGGTTTTCCTATTTTCTTTATTTTATCAATGGCAGAATTAGGGTCTAAGATCATGCTGCTGAACTGGCAAATCTGGGATTGAAACCCAGGTCATCTGATTCCAGAGCACCTCCTCATTAACTGTCTCTCAAAAATGTTTTCAAATTATATATCATTGTCAGCAAGATTTCTCTATGAATTTAGATTAAATACTTATAAGTAACTAAAGTTCTAATAACACACATCTATTATAGGTCAAATCTAAAAACACTGTAAATGATAAACAGGTTAAATTATGCCATATGATCTGATTACTTTGATTTGTATGCAGATGCTCAAAACAAAGCTCCTCCCACTACCTTCTAAAAAAAATGCCACAAAAGAAGGGGGTGGGAAAGAGACAAGCAGGGAGTAGGAAATAGAGTTCTCTGAGATTCTGGACTTCATATTTCCCCTCATTATATCACTCCTGCTAAGAAATAAAGTATATATGTGAAATATTGGTTTATTTAACTGATAAATACTTTTCTTGCAAATAACTAGAAAAGTTAGAAATAATTTCTCCACAATTCACACTGGCCTATATTTTGGTCAATGAAGTTGCTGTGGAATGTGAACATTTACTAGTCCATAAAGTTTCACAAGAAAGTCTCCCACAAGCATATCAATTAGAAGCATATTATAATTTATAAACTTATGGTATTACATTATAAGAAGTTAGAAAATATTTAGCCTTATGAAATACTTTTAGATTGAAATTTCTCTATTTATGAATACAGTCACTGTTACTACCTTTCTTACCTTGTAACCTTTCTTGGTGACATAGACAAAACAATTTGGGCTTTTTATATAGCCGTAAAGGCATTATATATGTGCTACTTCAACTTCCAATGTCTAAGAGATGACTTAGTTTGAGATCTGAATATCTTAATTTGCTAGGATTTAAATAGTAGCAACTGGAATAACCTATAAAAGAATAACATCTATTATTAAGCTCATTTTCCCCCCCACCATCAGATTTATTTTATTTCTAATTAAAAAACATAAGTTAATTTTGGCAAACTCAGGCTTAAAACTAAGCACACCAATAATAAATGAATCATCTCTTCAAGTACACAGTGTTTCCCTTGGGAACGACGGTTACTTTTCCAACATTTTTTTCCTCTAATTTAGAAAAAAGATAACATTTAAAATATTACAATGCCTAAACAGTGCAATCTAGATTTCGTACTGATGCTTGCAGCACTAATATTTCAACATTTATTATCACCAAGGATAACTTAAACCCAACTCCTTTAGTGAAGAGATTTCTTTCCCCATTTCTGTACTAGGCTCATAGTTCTGAATGTCACTAAGTAATGAATGTGACTTATTGATAAATTACTAATGAAGAGTTTTTATACAATCTCCTTTATAATTAGCTAGTTCAGAGGCTTAAGAAAACAAAACAAGTTTCTTACCCTCTAAGTGGTTACATTTTCCTCTCACTTACCTGAACATAGGAAAATAATGACCATGTATAGAGTTGCACCACTGAATCTATTTGAGTGGTTCTGTTTTTGTATTTAATTTTTTACTTAATTTGAAAAAAATTAGAAAAGTATTAGTTTGAAATTAGAGCAGCTAACACACTGCAGGCAACAAATTAAAACAAAAAAAACCTCAAATGGCTAAAAATAAAAACCCAAAGTATCTTTCCTTCAATATAAAAAAATATTGCTTTCCAGAAAGCAAAAAAAAAAAAAGACAACGATTTGAGAATAAAATCAAACATAACTGGTATTCAACACAGCAATGTCTAAATAAATGACCCACATAGCACAAAACTCTCATTCACAATCACATACAGTTAAGTTGCTTTTCTCTCAGTTACATAATAGTCGTCTTCAAACAATCTCCCTTTAGAAAATTATCACATTAGTTAAACCTATTTATTCTTACTATTTAGTTATTAATTTCATTTATATAGGACACACAGGTTTAATTGGCACACTTAAGAGTAAGACAAAATAAGTCACTCTTCTTTAAAAAAAAATTATGGTCATCTGTTTTCAAAGAATAATCCCAGACACTTAAGTCATTAAAGCAAATTTTCTACCATAAACAGTGAGCTTTTCAAATGATCACTAAGTGTTCACCTGAAGATTATCAATGCTATATGAAGTGTAAACTTGTTCTGAAGATTCGCGTCCATCTTATAGTAAGATACAATTTGCACTGAAGAGTTTTTAAAAAGATAACCTACACGCATACAGTTAATTTGCCTCAAACAACTTCTTAGAAATACAATATAAACATTTAAGAACCACGACAAAGTTGTGGTTCAAACGTCAACAAAGATTTTCTTGAAACCCAGTACAAAGATTACTGGTTCAACACCATATCCTAAAGTGACATCAGCAGGAGATTTGATTGTAAGACTCTACCTTTTAAAAAAAGAGCACACTTGGTTATACATGGCTTTTAAACTTAAGCTACAGTTATGCTACAAATCCCCCCACCCTTCCAATTTAAAGTCAGTCACGTGGAGATATGTACATTCTCTGAGCATTGTTTAGAGTCCTTGGTTTTCCAGCTTTGATGGAGATCTAGAAGGCGTTCAGAAGTCCGTGTGCTTACATTCAGAGCAGGATGAACTTTACAAATTCCACTTTCCTCCATTAGTGACAGGCCACAGATCCCAAAGTATGCATGCAAAGCATCTGAAAATAAGGCATTCAAAAAATCATAATAGGCATTCTTACTTGTACATTCTTCAAAATATTTTAGCTACATATTTACCAGCCCATCTCTCCATTAAAATAAGTTTAGAGAAATGCTAATATAGTTTTAAAAATATTTGCTTTCTCAAGTGTCAAACATGAATTTATAAAAAAAAAAAAAACCCAAATAATCAAAATAAAATATTTTCATGGAAATATCATTAACAAAGGAAAACAGTTTCCAGCTGAGGAGCTGATATTTTCAATAACTTCTGTGATTAAAAGACAGGAGAAACAGCAGTAATATATGACTTGTCACTTTAGGGAGTTTCCCTTTTTGCTTGGTAGAGAACATGGAAACGAGTAGCTTCAGTGCTATATCATTAAAAAAAACTTTTTTTAAATGACAACAAAATTCTGAATCCAAGTTGCAATACCCCTCCCTCCATGTTTTACCTCTGAAAGTTCCTAAACCATATACAGTACTATTCTAACACTGTGTAAAAGGAGCTTAAGCAAAAATAATCCATTCTGGAATGCTATGCCATATTTAATCCTCCTATTTAAGGTAATGTCAGTCATTCTAAAAATATCTGATCTGACAATAAAAACAAACTCACATTTTATTTGGCTGAAATAATATGAGTGCTCATACCATGACAACTCTTCTGCACTGGCTCACAGTTTCCCATCTTTCGGGGGCAGGAACCTTCTTCTATTAAAGTGGCCAATGAAATCACATGGCCATTCCTGCCTAGAAGTCTTACGTAGACTTCTGAAGAGCTCAGAGCTTTGCAGTTATAGGAGCACTACAAAGACAGTTTTGTACCAGTCAATAATTTTTTTCTATTTTTGAACTGGTCAACATTTATGCCCTTAAGAGCTATTAAAGTTCAAAACAGGCCAGGTGTGGTGGCTCACTCTGTAGTCCCAGCACTTTGGGAGGCTACGGAGGGAATATTGCTTGAGCCACAGGAGTTTGATACCAGCCTGGGCAATATGGTGAAGCTCCATCTCTACAAAAAATACAAAAATTGCCAGGTATGGTGGTGTGTGCCTATAGTTCTGGCAATGTGGGAGACTCACCCGAGCCTATGGATGTTCAGGCTGCAGTGAGGCATGATTGTATCACTGCACTCCAGCCTGGGCAACGAAATGAGACCCTGTCTCAAAACAACAACAATAAAAAGTTCAAAACATCTTACCAAGTCAAACTACGCCAAAAGGGTTAAGGAAAAACCTTTACTTAACGAGAGTATCATTTATTTTCAAAACAGAAATGACAATTAGTTGTGCTTACTCAATGCCATTGTGAAGAGTTATTTCACTAATAGAGGCCCATGTTGATCAACTTTTAGACCTTCTCAGTAAATACTTAGGTTTCTTCTGGCTCACTTTCCTTTGACTTTCAGACTATAAAAATAAATTTGTTTTCTCCTGTAATATTACATCATTCCATATAGTTACTCTAAAACTACCAAGGGTAGAAAGCAATATTAAGCTTTGTTTTCTAGAAACTAGGAAACTTTTCTATGAAAAAGTATAACAGAAGTTATATATCCATAATAACATAAAATAGAACTGTGTAAAACTAAAATCTCCCTGGATAAAGCAACTAATAAAACATTTTTTTTTTCTCAAAAAGATTTTTGTAACAGCCAATGAGATCAGAACTCAATTATTTCAAGTTTCAAATTGTTTTGCTTTTTTTTTTAAAAAAAACTCCTTATCTGTAAGTGGCAATGTACAAGCACTTTAGATGTGGAAATAGATGTTTACTCCATAATGAAGCACTTTAGATGTTGAAATATTTACTCCAAAATAAATTATTTTGAAGTTTCATAAATGTATATAAAATCCCTTTGTGTCAAATTTGCTACTAGATTTACTAGAACCAAGAATAAGCTTAATTTTAAAGAATCTTGCTAAATTGATTATAAAGGTTCTAGGACCAGATCTTTACACATAAATTCAATTTATGAAAGACTCTCTATGTTTTCTAGTGCATGCTCTGAAAACAGTGTCATGTATCTGTAAAAAGTAAGTGGAACATCCAAATATTTGCACAAATGTTAAAGTTAGCAACTGATCTCTCTAGAAAAAAGCCTCAAGAATTTTATTTTAAAAAAGCTATTGGAAATACTGAATGTATTTCAAGTATGTTTATATAAGAAATGTTTTCTAAGAGACTGTCATTTCCCTATTCCCACTATTTGTTAAAACAGTAGTCTGCACTGATTGAAAAAATGGGATCAAGACCAAAATAATTCTGTTTTCTTGAGACACCAGAGATACCAAAAATTTCAAAATATTATTTTGATGGAGAAATTAACTTTTGAAAACACACTTTGGCTTACAACTTTGAAAGCACTGTACACTTTTTCTAAGGAAGCATGTTTGTTTGTTTGTTTATTTTTTGAGACGGAGTCACGCTCTGTCACCCAGGCTGGAGTGCAATGGTGTGATCTTGGCTCACTGCAACCTCCGCCTCCTGGGTTCAAGCGATTCTCCTGCCTCAGCCTCCCAAGTAGCTGGGACTGCAGGCATACGCCACTGTACCTGGCTAATTTTTTGTATGATGAGGTTTTTGAGAGACGGGGTCTTGCCATGTTGGCCAGGCTGGTCTCAAATTCCTAACCTCAAGTGATCCCCACCCACCTCAGCCTCTCAAAGTGCTGGTATTACAGGCATGAGTCACTGTGCCAGTCTTTTCATTTTTTGAGAAAGACTCTTGCTCTTTCGCCCAGGCTGGAGTATAGTGGCATGATCTTGGCTCATTGCAACCTCTGCCTTCCAGGTTCAAGCGATTCTCCTGCCCCAGCTTCCTGAGTAGCAGGGATTACAGGCGCCCACCACCACGCCTATTTAATTATTGTATTTTTAGTAGAGGCAGTTTTCACCACGTTGGCCAGGCTGGTCTCAAACTTCTGACTGCAAGTAATCCACCCACCTCAGCCTCACAAAGTGTTGGGATTAAAGGTGTGAGCCAATGTACCTGACATAGGAAGCATGTTTTATATGAAAATACAGGCAGGTATGGATGTAAGGAAATATTCCTGCTCATTTCAAATACAAAAATATGATCTCATGAGCTCATTTATATTTTTATTCAAGTACAAATTCCAATCACAGCAGTTCTACAATGGAAGATGAGTTGATGAGGTACATTCTGGACTGATAATAAAAACCATGACTCTATTGCGATACTGGCATAAACAATTATTCCTTGTGTCTAGTTTCATATTCATAACTAATTCTTTGACTACTTGCTTATCAAAAATGTCAGGTGTATTTTTGTATTTTTAGTAGAGTTGGGGTTTCACCATGTTGGCCAGGCTGGTCTTGAACCCCTGACCTAAAGTGATCCACCTGTCTTGGTCTCCCGAAGTGTTGGGATTACAGGTGTGAGCCACTGCACCTGGCCTATTTAACGACTTCTGAAAAGATTAAGAACTGATTCCCTTCAGGATTGACGGTAATGTATTCTGCTTAGCTCAAGTCATGACTAATAATCTTAATGACTTTGGATGGGCTAAATAATCCTCTGTTTTGGAAAGGACTCATTCAGACCATCTATGTTACTGCTGCAAATGAAATAAAACATTACTAAGTAAAATATTTGGGAAAAAATGCACAATATACCAAAGCATCTTGATAATAAACTCTTTCCTTTATACCCCAACACCCTAAATCTATCCTAAGCTTACACAATCTACTTTTTAAAAAACATTATTTAATGTAACTTTGCAATTGTGGATATATTTTCTATCATATGCCTTTTCTGATAAAGATATTTGAAGAGGAAATAATGGTTGTTCTGGATTCACACAGAAAATAGTTACCTGGATGACTGTCTGGCCACTTGGCAAATCCTCCTACGAGGCGATCTTGAGTTGATAAGATGTAATTTCTATTTTTCTCAAAGTTAGTATATTGGAAAATTTTTAGAAGCTGCAATGACATGCAAGTAAAAATTTACTGACATAAAACTTATATCAACCTTTGGCTCAAATTTCAGATATGTGTCATTTAGATATGCTTTTCTTTAGCTAAGGGGCTCAGAGAAAATCTCTGGGGCCTTGGGAACTTGAAATGAGTCAATTACCTTATCTTTTTTATTTTCTTATCAAATCTACTCTCCTTTTCTCGACCCCCTATTTCCTTCTTTTGAATCAGGCCAACTAAACTCTTTGAATCACATTAAGCTAAATTCAAAAGACTACAATCCACTCAATATAAGCAGTCATTTAAAAAAGTACAAATCATCTACCCATATTTTAACTCTTATGATAAGCTCTTGAGGTATTAGTTATAAACTAGTAGTAATTGGAACTAAAAATATTTTGAAAAAAAAAGCAAACAAAAATGACTAACCAGATGCTACAGACAGTTTGAAAATAGTAAAAAATTATAGCTCTTTACTTAAGACAAAAATGATTGCAACGTAAAAAAGTATATAGTTTTAAATGATTTAGGACATATACTTGTTCTTTCTCTCAAGATTCCATAAAAGTAAAACACAGACAGGTAAATAAAACTGTGAAGTTCAAGATGATGTATGTAGTAGATAAGAGGGTTCAAGAAATTTCTGAAGATACAAAGCAATTTAATGTATGTTAATGAATCAAAGAGAGAGCCACAGCTTTTAGTGATTGATGAAGCATTATTTCTCAAAAACAAAAGCTAAACCCATAAGAAAGTTATGGTACAAACAAGAAACAAATGTATTCATTAACACTGATTCAATTAATAGACTATAAGGAAAAGGACCTTTCTAGAATCTTGATGTTAGAAACATTTTCCATCAAGTGGCAAACTGGTCATTAAATAAAAATGAAGAAATGAAGGCCGGGCGTGGTGGTTCACGCCTGTAATCCAAGCACTTTGGAGGCCAAGGTGGGTAGATCACCTGAGGTCGAGAGTTCAAGACCAGCCTGACTAACATGTTGAAACCCCGTCTTTAAAAGAAAAAAAGAAAAATGAAGAAATGATAATCTTAACACTGCACTTGGCTTAGCAATAAACAGTATTTGCACTATCATAGTAAGTGTTGATTACTGGTTTTCAAATTTTGTAATCAACCTACATGCAAAGCCTGAAGATGTGATTATTATTACTGAACAAAAATATGAATGTTTCCTAACTTAACATTATGAAAATAAAGGTAACCATACAGCATTGGAAGGTACAAGATAAGGAAAAGATTCAAAACTAAATATAATAGGTAAAAATTTATTGGAAAAGACAGAGGCTAAATCTTAATTTCTCATAGTTGAGAATCACAGATAATGTCTAAAGGTGATGAGAAGTCAGTTTGTGATTTAAAGTTATGGTAATGTCCAAGAGAATTAAAACATTTTAAAAAGTTTAAAAGTGGTTGCCTTCAGAAAGTTGTCAAACACTACAGATGTCAAATAAAAAAGACTTGGATCTCTGGAACACATTTAAAGCAGTGTCTATAGGAAAATTAAAAAAAAAAACAACAAAAAGACTTAGGACAACTTGAAAGGGTTCCTATAGTCTAAAGATGGGAAAATTTGAGCATAAAACACACACACATACACACACAAACACACACGCATATACATATATATATGACTAAAAAATTGTTAAACTCTATGTGTTCACAATGATTCGCTAAAAAACTCCCAAGCTCTAAAACCTAATATTTCATTAGAAAAACCAAGGGGATAGTAGGGAACCAACTCATTTTGTTGAACACTATTAAGAGAAAGAATCTGGTATTTATCTGTCCTTCTCTGTACAAAGTATCTCTCAGGGTAAAGTAAAATTATTCCTTAAAAAGAATGCTAGTTCATAAATTGAGAAGGAATGAAAGAATACCACTGTTTTGTAACCTCATAATGCCATAATTGATTTAAGCAATGATCCTTAATGCCTGTTAAAACTATTCTATAAAAAGTTGATAGTTTCTATAGACTAGCAACGAACAATCCAAAAGGAAATTAACAATGCAATTACATTTACAAGAGCATCTAAAATAATTAAATACTTAGAATTAAATCTTTCTTTTTTTTTTGAGACAGAGTTTTGCTCTTGTTACCCAGGCTGGAGTGCAATGGTGCGATCTTGGCTCACTGCAACCTCCGCCTCCTGGGTTCAAGCAATTCTCCTGCCTCAGCCTCCTGAGTAGCTGGGACTACAGGCGTGCACCACCATGCCCAGCTAATTTTTGTATTTTTAGTAGAGACGGAGTTTCACCATGTTGACCACGATGGTCTCGATCTCTTGACCACAATGGTCTTGATCTCTTGACCTTGTGATCCACCCGCCTCGGCCTCCCAAAGTGCTGGGATTATAGGTGTGAGCCACTGCACCTGGCCTAAATCTTAACAAAAAGGTGACAGACTTGTATGACGAAAACTACAAAACACTGCTGAAAGCAAATGAAGACAACCTATATAAATGGAAAAGCATCTTGTGTTCATGGATAGGATAGGAACACTCAACTGTGTCATGATATCACTGCTACCCAAAGTGATCTACAGATTCAACGCAATTTCCATCAAAATTTCAAAGACTTTTTTGCAGAAATGGGAAAGTCAATTACCAGATTCATATCAAATTGCAGAGGGCTTCAAATAGCCAAAACAATCTTAAAAAAGGAAAGTTGGAAGTCTCAAACTTCTTGACTTTGAAACTTACTACAAAGCTACAATAATTAAAACAGTATATTACTGGCACAATGACAGTCATATAGAACAACGGAATAAAAGGAAGGAAGTCCAGAAACAAACCTCAGATATATGGTCAACTGATTTTCGACAAGGGTGCCAAAACCATTTAATGGAAAAGGACAATCTTTTCAACAAATAGTGTTAGGAAAATTAGAGATCCACACGTCAAAGAATGAGGTAGGAGCTTAACTTATATCACATACAGAAATGAACTTTAAACTGATGAAAGACCTAACCTTAAGGCCTAAAACCATAAAACTATTAGAAGAAAACACTGAAGAAAATCTTGATGACACCAGATTCAGGAATAATTTTATGAACACAACACCAATAACACAAGCAATAAAAGAAAAATTTTGATAAAACTGGACTGCATCAAAAAACTTTTGTGCATCAAAGGACACCATCAACAGTAAAAAGGTGACTCGAGGAATGAGAGAAAATATTTGCAAATCATATATCTGATAAGGAATTAACATCCAGAATATATGAACTCCCACAACTTTGTAACTACAAAAGAAACCAGATTTAAAAATAGGCAAAGGGCTTGAATGGACAATTCTCCCAAGAAGATATACAAATGACCAATAAGTGCATAAAAAGACACTCAATATCATTAGAAAAACACAAATCAAAACCACAATGAAATGACACTTCAAACCAATTAAGACAGCTATTATATATATATATATATATATATATATATATATATATATATAGACACACACACACACACACACACACACACACATATATAGCAAACAGAAAAAACAAATGTTGGTGAGGATTCAGAGAAATTGGAAATCTCATACATTGCTTAGAGGGAATATAAAATTTTGTAGGTGCTGTGGAAAAGTTTGTCATTTCCTCAAAAAGTTAAATGAAGAACTACCACACGACCCAGCAATTCTACTCCTACATATATATAGTATCCCTCAAAAATGAAAGCAGCGACTTGAACATATACTTATATAACCATGTTTCCAGCAGTATTATTCACAACAGCCAAAAGGTGAAAACAACTCAAGAGATCATCAACAGATAAATGAAGAAGGAAAATGTGTTATTTATATACAATGGAATATTATTCAGCCATTAAAAAATAAATTTTGATATGTGCTATGACATAAATAAATCCTGAAACCATTATGTTAAGTGAAATAAGCCAGAAACAGAAGGACAAACATTGTATAATTTTACCGATAGGAGGTACCTAGAAAAGACAAATTCATAGTGGCAGAGAGTAGAGAAGAGGTTACCAGGCTGAGGGGAAAAAAGAATAGGGAATTACTGTTTAATGTGTACAGGATTTATGTTAAATATAATGAAAAAGTTTTGTATGGTGGTGACGATTACACAACATTGTAAATGTAATTAATGCTAGTGAATTGTACACTTACAAAGGTTTAAACTGATGAGTATAATATGCTATATATATTTTCAACTCGAGCTCTTTGACTAAAAGGAGAGCACCCAATTGGATATTACAAGCCTCCTGATGTGATACAACAGGAAATATACATCATCACTGGATACTGAATGATAATAAGCAATTATGGCTGTTTTTTTAGATGTGATAATGACACTAAGGTCCTGTTTTTATAAAAAGTTATTTTCATTTAGAGGTTATATTAAAAAGTTTCCAGAGAATATAAACAATGATATCTGGGCTCTGATTTAAAATAATTCAGTGAATGGAAGGAAAGTTTTGGGTTGATAATTGTTGAGAATGGTTGATGGACACATGGGGGTTCATCACACCATTCTCCCTACTTTTGAATATGCTTGAAATTTCCCACAGTCAAAAAAAAAATTAAAATCATGCACCTGAGAAATGGTAGTACAAGTGAGGAGAGACAGGGAGACTACTGTCATTATTTCCAATCATTTTTTTCCAATTTTTTTCACCTTATACATAAATTTTAAGAGAAAAAAATTAGGGTATTATAGAGAAGATGAACACAGACTCCTGTAACAGACTCCTGTTAGATTCTAGAATATCAGAACAAAGAGACAATTCTTAAAAGTGAAAAGGCAACTTTAAGGCAGAAAACACTTGTATTTAGTGACTAAATAACCTTTCGAAGGAATGACCCATGGTTTGTTTTTTAAGATTAATACCTTCCCTTATTATCTTTACTGTTATCATTTTCAGCTAGATCCTTGATTTGTATAAAGTAGTCAGTTCCAGTTACAAGTTTTTTATTATCTTATACCTACAAGAAGGTAAGTATTTGATATGCTCTACGTTAGGTTTAAGTAGGCATAAAACTCAAGTTCTGGCTTACTTGAGTTTTCTAAAAATGAAACTTTTCAAGCAGCACAAGCGATAACTGAATTCTATGGAAGAACTGTAGAGACTAGTTTTGGCAGAGCAAAGAAAAAACTCAGTAGCCTAAACCTAACCATATTTATATTTAATACACAAAGATCAAAACGTTTTAGCACAATATATATGAACACAGAATGTAGGTTTCTCATTTTTATTATTTCTCTTACCTTTAGAGTTGCTCCCACCCAAAAAGAGTAACAGGTGTCTACAGGCTTATTAGGTCTTCCATGATAACCATTTTGTTGCCTCATTATACACCACCTCTTTATCCTGTTCAATTCTTTTTCTGAAAAAACTTCTTCTAGTTTACCCATCAGACATAGTGAGGCAATGCCACAAAAAGTAGATCCTCCTGTTAATCAAAGCCACACAATGTTTCAAACTTCAAATTAGACATGAAAACAGTACAAAATGGTTGAGTGAAAAAAGTGGTTATAAATTCTAGAAAACAGTGAAATAAAATTTAAAAGATGAGATTTTAAATAACCACTATAAAAAGTCTTCAATATTAACTTGTTAAAACAGAGGATAATATAAAGCTCTAAGAAACATTTTACTTATTAAAAAAAGTAAGACTTGGAATAAGATTAAGGAACTTGTTTAAAATTACATGGTTAATGGCAGATTTCGAACTAAAATCTGGGACTACTAACTCCTTGTCCAGGACCTAGTCACCTGAGACTGATTTTTAAGTCCCTTAAAGACTTATTGCTTATAAATTGAGGTTCCGTCATCCCTAAGCTACAACAGGCAAGTTTTCACAAATAACATAAACAAGTTAGAAGCTGATAAGCAGATATTACAACTAGTCAGCTCAAGAATTTTAAGGAAGAAAAGAATAAAGCAGTGGGTGAAGTAGGGGTTGGGGGCAGTAAGAAAGAGGGAAACCAAATATGAAAGCAGATGCATAGCATGACTTCAAAACATATCCATACCCACTGTGGTAAGATGAATAATGCCTCCCCCAATATTTAAGTCCTAATCTCTGGAACCTGTGAATGTTACTTCATAAGGAGAAAAAATCGTTGCAAATGTGAATAAGTTAAAAGATCTTGAAATGGGGAGATTACTTTGTTTATCTGGGTGGGCCCTACCTGTGCTCACAAATGTCATCATAAGAGGAGAGAAGGAGAGCAGATTAACAGAGAGTAGGTGACAATCTAACTAACTATGGTGGCAGAGATTTGAGTGTTGTAGCCAAAGCTGGGAAGAGACAATGAACAGATTCTCCCCTGAAGCCACTGTTGGAGAAAGGAGCCAGCCCAGATAACATCTTGATTTTAGCCCTGTAAGCCTCAGTTCCGACTGAGTCACAGATGTATAGTTCTGGCCAGAAATGGAGAAAATAAATTTGTATTGCTTTACGCCCCTCTCTTCGTGCAAAAATGCTACAGCAGTGATAGAAAACTGATACACTGGGCTGGGCGCGGTGGCTCACACCTGTAATCCCAGCACTTTGGGAGGCCTAGGCGGGTGGATCATGAGGTCAGGAGCTTGAGACCAGCCTGACCAACATGGTGAAACCCCATCTCTACAAAAAACCAAAACCAAAACCAAAAAAAAAAAAAAAAAATTAGCCAGGCATGGTGGCACATACGTGTAATCCTGTAATCCCAGCTACTCAGGAGGCTGAGGCAGGAGAATCACTTGAACCTGGGAGGCAAAGGTTTACAGTGAGCCAAGATCACACCACTGCACTCCATGAGCCAAGGTCACACCACTGCACTCCAGCCTGGGAAACAGAACAAGACTCTGTCTCAAAACAAAACACACTCACAAAGGCAATTAATTTCCTCAGGAAATGAAAAGTCAGTATTTTTCCATATAAGAAAAGAAATAACACTTTTTACTGGCATTATTTGTTGTCAACTCCAAACAATTTGAAAATACTTATATTTCCAATTTATTATGACTTCACATAGTGATTTTTATTAATTTCAGCAATTTAAATGTCTGTTCCTAATATATCTCATGCCTTAACTTTCCTTTTGGTGTTACAAATCTTAAATGTATTACCTGGCAAAGAAAAGGTCAGCATTCCTTCTAGAAAACTCAAGGTAGCTGTCATATTAGAAGTGTAACTCACAGTTAAAAAAGTTTTAATCTTCAGAATTAGTTGAGACATCTATGCTAGTGATGAATCAAATTAAAAGTAAAGAAAAAATTACAATCTTTTAGAATAACTTCTATTAAGCAACTATTAATCTTATTTCCTTTTCAAGTGACTCAATTACCTTCCATTTCTCTTTCATGATAACCGGGCCATGATTTCAAGTCTTATTACATCATTAAATATAAAGCAAATTGGCACAATTCAAAGTAAAAACACTGTTTACTTTGTCCAAACTATTGGTTTTTGAAAATAACAACTCCAGAAGTAAGTGTGAACTCTGGGTAGCCAGAAACATTTACAAAGTCTATGCTTTAAACTAACATTCATTTATGAATAGGTAAGCCTAAAGTCCTAAAGTCTCTTGTTTTATACAAATCTCTAAAAAACTAGTTCTAAAATCCTTAATAAAAAGTATTATGTTAGGCTGGGCATGGTAGCTCATGCCTGTAATCCCACCACTTTGGGAGGCCAAGGTGAGAGAACTGCTTAGAAGCCGAGGAATTTGACACCAGCCTGGGCAACATAAGGAGACCTTATCTCTACAAAAAATATTTTAAAAAATTAGCCAGGTGTGGTGGTGTCCACTGTGGTCCTAGCAACTTGGAAGGCGAAGGTAGAAGGATCACTTGACAGAACCCCAGTCTGGGCAACACAGCGAGACCATGTCTCAAAAAAAAAAAAAGTAGCAGTATGTTAGAAGGGTGTTAAAGGCAGGTGTAAAAACAATAACAAAAGTGACATCTTGATGAAAAGTACATTATGAAATACTATCTAAAAACAGGCACAAGAACTAAAATAGAGTATCTTTTTGGGGCTAAATAGGGTTAGATCAATGATCTATACATACTTCAAAATACTTCAAGAATATTATATCATTAAAAGTACAATACTAGAATTGTTCCTCATCATAATGATCCGTTATCTTGATAACAAGCGTTCATTTAGCCTTAGTTGAAGACAATAGAAACAACACTTTAAGGATAGCAGTAAGAATATTAAGGCAAATACAAATAAGAGAATAAGAAGAAAAATTTTCATCTGAAATGGTTAAAAGTTTGCCACCTAAGTGATGTGCTTCAGTTACATGAGGAATGAGCAATGCGGAATACCTCAGTCATAAAACACCACAGATGGAAGGGATCAGAGAGATTCTCTCTTAACCTATCTCTTAACCTACCCCAATTCTTCCAGGTGCAGGGTAAAGGAGGCATTCCTGACTTCAGCTCTGTTATGTTATGATCTACTTATATTTTAACAGTGTAGCAGTTACAACTTATTGTTCCAACAAGGTTTTACAGTTCAGTTTTAAACATTCTCTTAGTACTTGTATATACTAAGTTATCAGAAGGAATCCATGTCCTCTGAAATTTAAGGCAGTCAACAATCATATAGCTAAAGTAGAAAATTAAATATATAGGTACATAAATAAATACATCATTTTACAATTAAACACCACATTAAAATGGTAAAGTAAATTTTTTTTGTGGGGGGCAGGACAGAGACTTGCTCTGTCACCCAGGCCGGAGTGCAGTGGCACGATCTTGACTCACTGCAACCTCTGCCTCCCAGGTTCAAATAATTCTTGTGCCTCAGCCTCCTAAGTAGCTAGGATTACAGGCGTGTGCCACCACATTTGGCCTTTTTCTTTCTTTTCTTTTCTTTTCTTTCTTTCTTTCTTTCTTTCTTTCTTTCTTTCTTTCTCTCTCTCTCTCTCTCTCTCCTCTCTCTCTCTCTCTCTCTCTCTCTCTCTCTCTCTCTCTCTCTCTCTCTCTCTTTCTTTCTTTCTTTCTTTTTAAGCAGAGATAGGGTTTCACTATGTTGGCCAGGCTGGTCCTGAACTCCTGACCTCAAGTGTTCCGCCCACACTGGCCTCCCAAAATGCCGGGATTACAGGCATGAGCCACCATGCCCAGCCAAGTGAAGTAAATTCAAGGGAGTTGAATATTTAGACTTAACATTTATCTTCATAATTAAGAAGCAGGTATTTTAAAAGAATCGTGGAACCAAATTAATTCATCAGAACTTCTGTACTATGAATCATGAGTTGTGAGGGAGAGAATAGTTTTATCTCTAACAAAGTAAGAAAATCCTATTCTTCCAAAACACAGAAACATTTTACCCTAAAACTGTACAAGATGAGTATCCCTAATCCAAAATTCTGAAATCTGAAGCACTCCCAAATCTGAAAATTTTTAAGCACCTACATGACACTCAAAGGAAATGTTCATTGCAACATTTCAAATTTCTGACTTCTGGATTAGGGAACCTTAATTAGTAAGCATAATGCAAATATTCTATAATCCAAAACACCTCTGGTCCCAAGTATTTTAGATAAGGGACACTCCACATGTACTTCCTTAAGGGAATCATGGAGATAAAGAGAATCACTACATTTGATGATCATGGCCTAAAAGGCTAAAATATGTCTGTTTAGTTTTCATAAAAAATGGGCTCCAAGCTAAGTAACACTTGGAGGAGAGCAGCTGAATTAAAAAAATATATATATATATATTAATTTATTAATATAAAATAATATTTAAGTTGGGGAATGAGAAAGCTGCATGAAGAAACTAAATTAAAAACAAACTGTAGCAGAAGTACACATTCTAAATTCAACTTTCTAAGCAAGAGATGCCAAGTGGAACACAGGATAACTAATTCATCAAATACTATAATGTACAAGGACATATGGAATAAGACATGAATATGACATGACCAGCTTATAATCCAGCAAAGAAGATAAAGAGGTAAGTACCATAAAAATGACATTAATGAAGTATTATGGGAATACAGAAAAGGGAAATATTGCTTAGAACTAGAGGGAACCATAAGATGATGAAATGTTTTACAGAGAAGGTGACACTGGAACCCCAGGAACCAGGTATAGAAAGATAAACTGATGGTTATGAAAAGAGAAACAAGCAGAAGAAGGTGGAAAGGAAGCATTGCAAGCAAAGCAAAAGGCGTATTAGCAATTTCCAGAGGTGAAAAGCCATGTACAAATGTTTGGAGAGCATGTTTTCTTACAACCTAGACTGCACGGAACAGATAACTCAGATATGAGTCTACAAAGCTAGACTGGAATCAGATTACAGAAGAATAAACTAGAGAGGCAGGATGGGATTATTGAACAAGCACAGAGTTTTAAAGTGAGTTATGATACTTACCTAATATGTGAGCCTACTAAGCAACTGACTTCTCTGAGTGAAATGACAATAATTATTGTGGCTTTGTACTGTGTTAACTTGGCTAAGCTAGAATTCTGTTTCCCAGGATCCCCTTCCCTGTATGGTCAAAAGTTAAGAGAAATCTGTGTGAGACTTGTAAAGTGAAAGTCTAGTAGCACTCATTACCCTGGTTATGGTTAGAGAAGGTAAGCAACAAATGCAACGGTGCTGGTAGAGTCCAGCTCGCCTCATTCTCCCATATACTTGGCATCCAAAATCTTCTTACTCTTGCCCTGCTTACCTCAGGCCCACAAAGAGATGCAGGAGTACCAGCCCTTCACAGACTTCTCCACAGTCACAATCTGGCAGATGACTGTGCCTGGCTTTTAGGTTTCCCTGTACAGCCTGACTTGTCCACCTGTGCCACTGCTTCAGGAGGCATGTCACTGATTTTTCCCCAACCCTCCAACTATCCCTTTTAGGTTCTTCTCCATCTTCCTCCACAGTTACTTATAAAATCATATTTCTATTACAGCCTTTATTCTTTAACACTCATAGTCGTTTTACTTCTGAGTTCTGACTAATACAAAAATGTCTATTCTCAGAGGTTGATATGAGGATTCAATGAGACTCTATGTTAAAGTATCAGATGGTAGCAGGTACACAGCAGCTGGTTAATAAATACATTATTTTCCTTTTAGTCTGCAGATTAGGGATTATAAATTGGTAATTTATGGAGGACAACTGGTGTAACTGGCAAATTAAAAACAGAGAAAGAGATTAAAATTAAACTCAAAATTCTGGATTGCTGGCTTCCCCCAACCAAAAAAAAAAAAAGTCAATAAATCTAAGTTATTTCTGAATAGCAAGGACAGGCTCAGGAGGAAGAGAAGAGGAGAATGACGGTTTTAAAAATATGTAGTTTGAGATACTGAAGTTGTATTGAGAAAGATGCTTGGCTAACAAATGGGAAGGGGGCTATGGAGCACAGAAGCAACAGTACAGGTGGGGAAACATTGTTTTGGGTACCATCAACAGAGAGATAATTAATAAAGAACCATCTGTTAGTTTGTGAAACTATGTGTCAAGCATGTTACAGGTGTAGGGGATATATCAGTGGGTAACACAGGCAAAAATCTCTCTTCTCATGAGGTTTAAGTGAGAAGCAGACAATAAACAAATAGATAAAACATAGGTCATTTATAAAATAATAAGTGATATGGAGAAAAATAAATCCAGAAAGGAGGTTAGAGAATGGGATGTGTATGTGTGGTTGGTTTGCAATTCTATTATAAACACTGGGTGTGTATCTGGGTGGTTTGCAATTTTAAACAGGGAGCTTGAACCAAGATCTGAAGAATGCAAAAGAAAACCAGGTATATGCTGGAGGTAGAGGATGAAGGAGGAAGATTCTATGTACAAGAAACAGCATGTACAAAAGCCTTGAGTTTTAGGAAGAAGAATCCAAAGAAAAGAAGAAAGCTGAGATGAAAGGAAGAAACAAAGATGGTGAAGGAACCAGTACTAATTCATGAGGAATTAGGACAAGTGGAATGTGATGTGGGAAGGTTAATAGCTCAAATGCGTCAATAAAGATGAGGAATGAGAAAAAGACATTGGATTTGAAATACTCATGACTTTCAAAGACGAACTTCCTAAGTTGCTGAAGGCTTACACAGATAATTATAGAACAAGTCATCCGTGAAGAAAAGTGAATAGTACATTTGGACAACTTTTCCAAAGACAGTAACAATAAAAAGAAAACGAGAGAACACGATGACTTGATGAGGTGGCCAAATTGCAGGACTACTTTTTAGAAAGAGGTTTCACTTTCTAGTACAGTGATGAAAAGGAGAAAGAAAACGAAACCAAAATCCTTTAAGACAACCTTACCAGGGATTCTAGATACCCAGGTCCTGCTTGGTTGCTCCAAAGACTGAAGGGGCTACATTTGGTATAATAAGCTATTTAAGGTATACAATTACATTGTGACACTGATTAAAAAGGCTTCCTCTAGGGCTTTAGGCCTCAAACCCACCAAGCCAAATTTACACATAGAAGGAAGATGTAAGCTTTTGGGCATGAACTATATAGTCCATCACTGATGATCCTGATGGGTACGACCTATTCAAATCATACCAACTCAAAATCATGACTTGTATAACTCAGGAAGATTTTTTTCCTGAGAGGACCCATTAGACAGTGTCATGTTTGGGCAGCCCCCTTGTTTAATATTCCAGAGAATATAATCCCAATGTGAAATAATATGAGCTGTCTCACAGGTTTCCTACACAGATGAGGTGACTACTCCCCAGCCAGGGTGCATATTAACACCATCTACGATAGTGAACACCAGATCCTGTCTTCTCAGAAATTCTCAGAGTTGCCAGATGTCCTGTGTGTGCAACTGTAACTATATCCCTCTTGATCATATGGCAATGACTAGTAACATAATTGTTACTGTTAGGTTCTCCCAACCTCTATCTCATAGAGACTCAAGCACACACACAAAAATTATGGTGTCATAATTACAGTATGGCTTCCGAGGAAACGCCATGGAAGTGTTCTATATACCCCTTAGAAACACATACTCTACAACTATGTATATTGAAGGAGGGAGTGAAGAGGTGAGAAGAGGAGGAAATACTTCATAGGACAAAATCCCAGAGTATGTACAAGGCTATGGGGTTAAGGAATATTTGTTAAAAATATCCTTTTTATAAGGTTTTTATAATTTCCAATCTTTTTATACAGATTTTATAAAATCTACTTTCTCTGTATCTTTTATAATCCTAACAACAATCCTAGAGAAAGATGCAATTCTTACTCTCTGTTGATGAGGAAACCCTCGGAGAAATTAAGTGAGGAGCCAAGGTCACTCAGTTGGTGTCAGGGCTGAGACCAGAACACTGATCTGTTCTCTCTGCTCCATTATGCTCCATCATACAGAAAACTGCTGTGATGAGGAGGAAGCTGACACTCACTCAGAGAGGCTCCATGACCCGAACTCTTTCTTTTTGGAAAAGAAGAATGGAAGCTTATTTATTTCCAAATGGAAATTTCAACTTGAGAGAATTCAGGCTATTGATGTGCTGACAAACTTAGTGACTATCACATCATTATTTTGGTTCTGCCACAAGTTGAAAAGAAAAAAACATGAAAGAAAATGCTGTATTAATGTCTGCACTGAGCAGCAAAATGTTTCATGACTATGACTAAGAAAATAAGAATCTTCATTTTTTCATGAACTTGTTCATTCATGTTTAATAGTCTGCATTTGGTCTAGCCTTTTAGAGTTACACCAAAAAAGAAAACCTGTTGTTTTCTAACAATAGCGTAAGAAACAATCCCAAGATATTTTTATACAGCTAACACTTGAATAGGTTACTAGAAAATACAATATGAACATCCCAGCCTAAATAATGTCTGAATTATTACTGACCAAAGAAGCTTCAAATAGATCATATGGTGCCAAAAGAGAAGCAGGAAAGTGACAAAGAAGATAATTAGGCTGCACCAAGGGTTCAGAAAAACTTTTGAGGTTTTCCATGCTGAAGACATCAAGATGTTGTCTAAGGGAACATAAGAAACTACATGTTCACTTATTTAAGATGTCTTACCATGAGATTCAAGTCCAGCTCCCTGTGCCAGTCCATTGTCATAGGACTGAAAAAGAAAAACATCATTCAGTTTAATAGGGAAATAATAATGATACTAATAAATGAATAAATAAGTTGCCATTCCACTAAGATTTTTTGGTTTCTTCTAATTTTATTTCTCCTTTATATCTTCCAAAATGTGCATTTTTCCCCATGGACAAGTAGAATTAGGCATTTTCAAGTACCTGATTTTTATCTTCTTATTCACCAAACTAAGTCACTAAATTCATACACTAGGCACATTCTGAGAATAGATTGTTCAAAGTTATCTACATATTCAATCTCTACTCCATAAAAACTATAAAAAACCATAAACCTTACTCCTTTTCCCATTGCAAGTATATATGAGTTGGAGGAAAATGTAAGGATTTCACACTGATAGAACATTGTAAACATGAAACAAGTCTATTCTGAGGCAGTTTTGGGTCATTGAGCCTAATGGTAGCCATTATTGGGCACCATTATTTTGAATCTCCCCACATACACTCCAAAATCAAAACAAAAGAACAATAAAACTTTGAAAATTCAAACCTTAGCAAAGCAAGAAGATACACTCAAGCTTCAGATTACCTGTCTACAGAAAAAGAAACATCAAATCCCAGCAAGCCATCTAGTGCATCTCTGACACCCCTTTGCAGACAGCAAGGGTGAATTATAAAAAACCATGAGAGGAGGGGAGCTAATGGTAGGTCTGAGATTGATCTAAAATCACTGCCTAAAAGAGAAAGTCCACCCTAAATATGAGAAATAAAAGCAGTTTTCACTTTGTACGATTATCTTATGCACACATTCTAGTTACCATGGTTTAGCTAAATAACACAACATGATTCAAATTAAGTAACCAAAGCAGCATATTAACTGTGATTGCAAAAAGTACAAACCTTCATTGCTAGCTCTTCAGTCTGCAAATCACTACATAAATAACAGATGTGCATCGCCATCATTGACCAACCATACCACCTTTTTCAAAGGTTAGGAACTGGTCACTGCACATGTTACTCAGTTCACACACAGACAGCAGAGTGTGGCTGTGTTGCCTCTTTGTCTCTCAGTGATAAATCCACATGATGTTTCATTAAAAGGCACAACAAAAAGAGGGGCTTGGCCAACAAAGATGAAAGTGCAGTAAAGAAATAAAAAGCAGGGCCAGGCACGGTGGCTCACGCCTGTAATCCCAGCACTTTGGGAGGCCGAGGCGGGTGGATCACGAGGTTAAGAGATCGAGACCATCCTGGTCAACATGGTGAAACCCCGTCTCTACTAAAAATACAAAAAAAATTTAGCTGGGCATGGTGGTGCATGCCTGTAATCCCAGCTACTCGGGAGGCTGAGGCAGGAGAATTGCCTGAACCCAGGAGGCGGAGGCTGCAGTGAGCCGAGATCGTACCATTGCACTGCAGCCTGGGTAACGAGCGAAACTCTGTCTCAAAAAAAGAAATAAAAAGCAGTAACACTGGGTGTGAAATTAAAATCAGTTATAGAAGACAGCTATTACGGGAATGCTGACGATATTGCTGTTTGAGACTCTTAGGTATACAGTCAGAAGAACTAAGTGAAGGTGAAGCATCTATAAGCAAGGGAAGGGGTTGTGATAAAAAGATGAAGATGTTCTAGGGAATTGCTCCTGCAAATAAACTTCACATAAAAGGAATTCTCAGAGATATTTCACAACACTGAAAACATAAAACATACAATGTTGGAAGCCGACAGAAACTCAGATTATGATCATTCGCCAAGACACAGAAAAAATCCATCTTAAAACTTACATAATGAGAAGGCAATATTCTCATTATTTCTAATGTTTTAAATTAGAGCATACTATATACTGATTTTACTATTTAAAACATTATATGTTTGTAACTGACAGGAAGAGTTTACAAAGTTTTGGCAACAATTTTAAAAGTCACAGAACAATTACAATTTTTCCCACTGATGATTAAAATCACTTTGCATCATTTTAGCTTGTGTGGTTATCATTATAGTTTGGCACTATCATGCAAAATGAAGATAGCCTGTTTTGAAAGAGGCCTTGTAAACACAGCACTGACCATGCGGAAGGGACTCAAAAGAAAAGTCGAGGTGGCCGAGGTCAAAGGATATAAATTTTGGTAAATAAAGTTAAAAAGAAAGGAGAAGCCCTTTGAAAATCAGGTGATAAAGGAAAACTCAAAAGAGCAAAATTTAGATACCTGAGATACAAGAGAACCTTCTTCCCACCAGAAAGATCACAGAACAACCCCAGTTACTAAAAAAAGCCACCCATTAAAGAAAGCATATTTGTTACTAGAAATTCTTGTAAGGAAAAAAAACTCCAATAAATTACTAACATACAAAGTAACTGTGAGATGAAAACATAGCAAATGAAATGAAAACACCTAAGTATATGAAAATCTGCCTCTACTCCCAAGAAACTGGCATGAATCAGAAGAAAACTGTAACGTAGCACTCTAAACTCAATTACCTTATCCTCAAACAAGCATTAGGAAATAAAAAGGGAAATTAAAAGTTAAAAACAGATGAACAAGCAATAAAAATAAAAAGAGAAATAGTGTTAGAAAAGAAACAGAAAAGGAAAAAAAGAAAGAAATTCTAAATTACAGGATGACTAACAAACAATAATCTCAAATGCAAATACAATAAGGGATACTGAAAAAAGCAGAAAACAGCCAAGAGAATAAACATGAGATAAAGAAGTAAAAAAGGTCAAAGAGAAAGTGGCTCAAAAGAAGGTCAAGCAAAAAAAAAAGAACAGACACTAAAATGGAATTTCAAAAAAAAAGCAAATGCAAAATAACGGATTCGAACTAGGGGTCAGCAATGGCCCAAAGGCTAAACTCATCTGCAGTCTGGATTTGTACGGCCCTCAAGTTAAGAAAATGGTCAATTACACTCATAAGAAAAAAAAAAATGATAAAATGAACTGAAATATCATTTTTCTACCACCAGAAAAAAAGGTAAAAACAAAAAAAGGGTAACACTTTTTATTGGTGAGGCTATGTGAAAACAGGTATTCTCCTATACTGGTGGGAAAACAAACTGGTCTATCCCTGTTGGAGTGAAAATGGGCAATCTCTAGTAAAATTACATATGCATTTACCTTTTGATTAAGCAATTCCACTACCAAAAATTTACCCTGAAGATATATCCATAACAATATATAAATATACATGTAGAAAGCTATTAATTACAGCATTATTTGTAATTGCAAAATACATGCTCCGAATGTAGAATATTTGAAAAAAAAAAATGGCACTTTTTCCACAGTGTGGTATTACAATAGGAAACTATCAAAAAAAGAAAGAAAAATCTCCCTGAACTGATAAGGAGTAATTTTCACATTGTATTGGTGGTTTTTTTTTTCGTCCCAAGCTACATTGTTAAGTGAAAAAAAGCAAACAGCAAAAAAAGGGTATGGTATGCTACCTTACGAAGAAAGAAAAAGAATTAAAAATATACCTATCGGCCAGGGGCAGTGGCTCACGCCTGTAATCCCAGTACTTTGGGAGGCCAAGGCGGGTGGATCAGAAGGTCAAGAGACTGAGACCAGCCTGACCAGCATGGTGAAACCCTGTCTCAGTACTAAAAAATACAAAAATTAGCTGGGCGTGATGGCGTGGGCCTGTAGTCCTAGCTACAGGGAGGCTGAGCCAGGAGAATTCCTTGAACCCAGGAGGCAGAGACTGCAGTGAGCCGAGATTGCGCCACTGCACTCCAGCCTGGTGCCTGGCGACAGAGTGAGACTCTGTCTTAAAAAAAAAAAAAAAGGCCAGGTGCAGTGGCTCACGCCTGTAATCCCAGCACTTTGGGAGGCCAAGGTGGGTGGATCACGAGGTCAAGAGATCGAGACCATCCTGGTCAACATGGTGAAACCCCATCTCTACTAAAAATACAAAAAATTAGCTGGGCATGGTAGTGCATGCCTGTAATCCCAGCTACTCAGGAGGCTGAGGCAGGAGAATTGCCTGAACCCAGGAGGTGGAGGTTGCAGTGAGCCGAGATTGCGCCATTGCACTCCAGCCTGGGTAACAAGAGCGAAACTCCGTTTCAAAAAAAAAACAAACAAAAAACAAAACCCTATCTTCTCATCAATAAGAAATGTAAGAAAGATAAACTGAAAACTAATGAGGATGGCTATGTACAGGGTGATGGGGAATGAGATATTAAGTATGGGAGTTAAGAAGAGGGTGGAAGACAGGAAGGGTAATGAGCAAAAAGTCATACTTCTCTGAATATATATTTTTGTATAGTTCCGACGTTAAGAACCAAATTAGTTTTTCACATACAAGTAAATAAAGTCAACAAAGGAAAAGGCTAAAATGGAATTCAAAGAGAAACAAATAACCTAACTGTATTTCAAATAAATAACATAACCATACAAAGTGGGGAAATAAAAGAACTGGAGTACTTCTTAAATACAGTATTCTGATTATATATTCTCAGACCCAAAACAAAAAGAACCAAAGTATTCTAGGTAATGGGAGCCAGGCTTGTTTGTCACTACCAGAGAATGGAATCAGAAATGAAAAAGGAAAGTTAAAATGAGCCCTGTGGGTGTCAGACTGAAATTTGAGGCATCATTATAGATTCACGGTTTTAATATACAGATATATAAATATACACAGAAATATAGATTGTGTGTATATGTCTGTAAGGGGATGTCTATGTATACATACACATATACATACATTTCCTATCTCTGCCTGAGAAAAGGCCTAGAAGTAATGACATTTCAATACAAATGAGCACACCTAGGATCCAGATTCTGGTTTCTAAACCCTATCCTCTAACAAGAAGGCTCCTCAATGAAATGACTGATTCCAGAGCTGAGGACGGAAAAGTAGAAGATAAACCTGGAATATCTTGTGCCAGAAAGCAAGGAGGTCATCAAAGAATGAAGGGAACATGTCAAAAGTGCATAGAGTCTACTCAAAGGGTTTCCATAGGCCTAATCCAGGACAATCTGAGCATTGAAATAATGACAGTAATAGATTCCAAGCCATTGAATTAAATAAGAATATAGAGTCCACAGATATCTAAATAAGTAAGTGAAAGTAAATAAATAAAGGCAGAGAGAAAGTTTTTTTCAAACAGTAGAATTTTAACTGATATTTATAAGAAGGATGCTAAAGCTGGAAAATCATCAATGCATACTAACAACAATACCGGATAAAAATTTGTTTGGGAACTGACTGAGTATTTATAGTTTCCAGATATCTCACCATAAGATATTGAATAATTAGAAAAGGGAAAACATTAACTTAACAGAGAAAGTGAGCAGAAATAGGGCAAATCAACTTGCTGTACCTCCAAATACAGTGTACTGAGAAGACAGTATTACTTCTGTACTATCCATACCAAAAATTCTTATCACCCACCTTCCTATCAAACATAAATCTCTTTTCCTCTTAAAACTCCTTTAATGGTCTCTTCTTTCTGTATCCACAGGCTTTTAAAAATTTGTGCTGTTTTAGATTCTACAAAAATCTGATCCACAGTTAACTGCTTAAATGCAACTCCATTCTTCTTAGGAACAGACATTTTCATTTTGAAATACTGCCTATTAAAAGTTGAATTAACAGCCTAAAATATTCTAATCTATAAAATGAAAAACTTCGTATTTAGGAAATAATAAATCTGGGAAGTAGTACTTGTCTTTCTCCTTTAATACAGAGAGGACACAGCAGAGCAAAGGATAGTTCTGGCTGAAACTAAGCTTTCCTTACTAATGCTAACAAAAAGATTATAGTCTCACCAAAGATATCATAATCTTCCAGTTTGCTTGACTGGATCCAGATTCTGGTTTCTAAACCCTATCCTCTAACAAGAAGGCTCCTCAATGAAATGACTGATTCCAGAGCTGAGGATGGAAAAGTAGAAGATAAACCTGGAATATCTTGTGCCAGAAAGCAAGGAGGTTGTCAAAGAATGAAGGGAACATGTCAAAAGTGTATAGAGTCTACTCAAAGGGTTTCCAAAGGACTCTACTATCTCCGGTTACAGAACAGGCTGTCAATATTTGACTTTCGGATTTTACTTATTTTTCTTGTAAGTCAACCAATCCTTTTCTTATAAAGACACTGCTCTTTAGATAAAATTAAATTAAATTTTAATGGCCAAGGAGTCAATCAGCCCTTTAAGATTATTTCTTTACTATGTTCTGATACACAATTGCTAAAAAGCAATCTTAATGCTCTTATTTACAAATTCTTGGTGGAAGAGATGAGACATACACTGTAATACAGTACTCATGTACTAGCAAAAACAACCTAAATTGTCAATTTTATCAACAGGACTCACCATACTTCTTCTAATATAGGTGATGGCTTTTTTCATATCCATGCCTGACCAGTTGTTGAGCATATAGCAAATACAGGAAGCACAGTACACAAATCGCATGTCATTTTCACTGCCTTCGGGTACTGCACAGAAACTGAAAACAGTAACAACGATATGATTTTCTATGAACAATGGAGTCTGATTTTTTTGCATGGGGGTTAGAAATACCTCCGTTGTGTCTTTAATGACAGAAAAATCTATTGCTGATTATTCTACTTGTATTATTCAATAAAGAATAAGACTATTAACTTGAATAATATAAAACTTTCTCTAAATCATTATTCTACTAAAATATTATGACTTCTAGGTAGTTTTACACACTATCATGTTACTGCTTCCCAGATGCTGACTCAGCATAAGCTTATTTGCTTCCAGCCAGGGACAGCTGCAGCACACTGGCTTGAGAATGGCAGAAAAAGTAAAAGGTAAAACCTGAGACCTACTGGGTAGTAAGAAAATTCCAAGCCCAAGTTTTTCTATGTGAAATTTCTTCTAAATGTATACAGAGATACCCATTTAATTGATTAATCATATTGTATTTTAATTTTTACATATTAATTGTAGAGAGGCAGCAGTGTGTGTTGCATATATATTTATATATATATTTAAGAATAAGGAAGCAGTAATCAAAGACTACACTGAAACATTGAGATATAAGCCCTATATGTGAAGTAAATAGTTTCTTAGGTTTCCAATTAATGTCAATTTATTCTACTTGTCTCCATTAATTTTTCCCTCATCAAGAGCAGTGTTTTGAAAACACTGACAGGAAAACAGAAGTATTAGTAGATGGAGCACAAAGAGTTAACAGCACAGCAGGATTTGTTTGCAGTCTTTAGCCTTTTCACTACTGCTTTATCCCTTCTCAGACTTAATTTTTTCTACCTTAAAACTCCAGGAAGATTCATCTTTAGACATGCCATGTGAATCACCAAATATTAATAAACATATGAACTCCCTTTTCTATCTTTTAAAATTGTCATAGAAACTACCTACCCAGGAATATAATATTGAATGTTCACCCCTTTTCCTAATCAACATATTGCAAGGAACTGAAGTTCAGACTAACTGTATACATACTTCAAAACATCCATTTTTCATCTAGAATGTAAACTAGCTTCCAATCCTGAAATTATTCAACCATTTATCTATGTACCCATTGTTGTTAAAAAAGAAAAGAAAGGAGTCTGGCTATTGTAATTACTTTTATTTTCACTCACAGAAGAAATCTTGGGTCACTTTTTTGATTATGCACTTAATTATGTACCTTATAAACTTTAGGTGGTTCTAATAATAGAGTATGACCCTCTAAAGATCTAGTATAGTGTTGTATCCATTTTTCAGTTCCAAAATGTTTTTGTTTATTACAAAAAGAGTAACAAAGAAACACTCATACCTCCCGTCTTCCAGCTGAAGGGCTCTCAAGCCTGCTAAGCAAGCTTCTTTATTTACTCTGCTTAAGTCGTCTCCAAGAATAACTAAGCATGAAAGGCCAGTGTAGGTCATTGCAATGTGGCCACTATCATAAGGATGAGCTGTTCCAGGAGTCTAAATACAAAATTAATATAGTACTAATTAATGAAGCGAAATGAAAACTTATTTCATTAAGAAATCTGACATATGTTTTTAGAAAATAATAAAATTAAATGTGGCTTACATTTATTATAGACATCTTATTAAGGAAAAAATAAACCCTCCATTTTATGGCTGTCTCAACATGAATACGATTGCATACATTCCAAGCTACCTAATTTTTAAATTCTTTCATACCTCAGGCATTATGGAAACAGCTATGATATTCAGGTAAACCAAACTATTATTTGTTGTTTTGGATGTTTTTTTGGCGGCAGGGGGGGGTGGTAACAGGGTCTTATCTATAACCCAGGCTGGAGTGCAGTGGTACAATCACAGCTCACTGCAGCCTCCAACTCATGGGCTCAAATGATTTTCCTGCCTCAGCCTCCTGAGTAGCTGAGATTACAACTGACACAAACCACCATACCTGACTAAATTATTTAAACCCAAAATCAACTCTAATACTTACAACATAAGTCTATAAAGTCAGAAAAGCATACAGCCTTCCAGACAAAAAGATTTCTACAACAAAACTTTTTTTTTTTTTCTTTTTTTGAGACAGAGTCTCACTTTGTCATCAGGCTGGAGTTGCAGTGGTGCGATCTCAGCTCACTGCAACCTCCACCTCCCGGGGTTAAGTGATTCCCCTGCCCCAGCCTCCCAAGTATCTGGGACTACAGGTGCGCGCCACCATGCCTGGCTAATTTTTTGTATTTTAGTAGAGATGGGATTTCACCATGTTGACCAGGATAGCCTCGATCTCTTGACCTTGTGATCTGCCCAGCTCAGCCTCCCAAAGTGCTGGGATTATGGGCATTAGCCACTGTGCCTGGCCACCAAAACTTATTTTATATAGTACAAATCTAAATTAAATACCACAGTAGTGATTGCCATATAAGAAATTTTAAGAGGATACAGTTGAAAATCTTGTCATTCTGCTCTAATATAAAGTTTGAGTCATTAGTAAAACATTGACTCTTGGAATAGCAAAAAACAAAACAAAACAAAAAAGCAAAGAGCTCCAAATGCTAAAACAATTAAAACTGGAAAACGGATTTAGTATTGGGAGCTTTTCTTTGTATTTCTTTTTGTTTGTATTTTATTTATAAATAAAATAGTGTAACTTTCAAAATTTAGAGCCCAAATGATGTTTGCCTGTAAAAAGTGATGAATCCTATGCTTCCAAGGAAAGATTATTAGACTAGCAATTATCCAGGCAAACAAGGAAGTCACACTTGGAAACTCATATTACCACAATATGTGTCAGATTAGTTCAAATGATTTGACTGTGGCACCTATACACTATGGAATACTGTGCAGCCATAAAAAAGAATGAGTTCATGTTCTTTGCAGGGACATGGATGAAACTGGAAACCATCTTCCTCATAAAATTAACACAGGAACAGTAAAACCAAACACCATATGTTCTCACTCATAAGTGGAAGCTGAACAATGAGAACACATGGACACAGGGAGGGGAACATCACACAGCGGGGCATGTTGGGGGGTGGGGGAAAAGGGAAGGGAGAACATTAGGACTAATACCGTAATGCATGCAGGGCTTAAAATCTAGATGATGAGTTGATAGGAGCAGCAAAACACCATGACACATGCATACCTATGTAACAAACCTGCATGTCTAGCACATGTATCTGAGAACTTAAAGTAAAACTCAAAAAAAGAGAATTACAGTTATCAAAGATTTCTTAAACTTAATAAAACACGTGACTCCTTGTAGGATACCCTATAAAGAACCTGGGAGTTGGCAATGGCATAGATAAAACTGGAATTAAAAATGGTTTATTATGCTAAATAGCTTTACATTCCAAAACATACAAAAGCATTGAGTTTTATGATCAATTTCAAATAATCAACTAATCCTATTTATTGGTTATATTAAAAGATGTTTTCACTTGAAAAATATAAAATTTCATTGTACTATTTCTCAGTTTAAAAAAGTTTTACTTTTAACAGAGTAAGAGTATATTGTTAATTCATCTTCTCATAGGAATCCCTTCTGTTTTAGTGCGTGTTCACCAGTAATAGCTTCAAATGCTGGAATAACTGCTTATAACAGTAGAAAGATAAAATCTGTACGATGATTTTGGTTAAAATAAACTCCTCTGCCTTCTTTAATAAGAACTTTTACAATAATTGAAAGGCATAAAATCCTGGTTCTATTTCTTACTGTGTTGCTTAATGTTCCTAATTTTAGAACGTGAAGATACTAGTACCTAAACCTCACTGGGTTATTGTGAAGATTAAATAAGTTACTGTCTCAAAAGTTGTTAGCTATCTTAATGATAACTAAATGCAAGGCAAATATCTAAGGGGCCACTAGTTCTTTAAAGTCTAAAGTTTAAAGTCAAGGGTCTAAAACCTACCCATGGCTTAATCATAAGATTTTCCTACATACTGACCTCCTATGGTTCCTCACAGAATGAGTTTGCATGGTGTTCACTACCCTTTTTATAGTAATCTGAACCTACCCCACCTGACTACCTTTAGATACACATTTTTCCTTTTTTTTTTTTTTTGAAATAGGGTCTTGCTCTGTCACCCAGGCTGGAGGGCAGTGGCACAATCTGAGTTCACTGCAACCTCCTCCTCCAAGGCTCAAGCAATCCTTCTGTCCTGCCTCAGCCTCCCAAGTAGCTGAGACCGCAGGCACGTACCACTACACCCAGCTAATTTTTGTATTTTATGTAGAGACTGGGTTTCACCATGTTGCCCAGGCTGGTCTCAAACTCCTGAGATCAAGTGATCCACCCTTCTTAGCCTCCCAAAGTGCTGGGATTACAGGTGTGAGTCATGGATCCTGGCCAGATACACAGTTATATGATCTCACAAATGGTCCAAGCAAATTTCTGTCTTTACATCTTTCATCCTAAGTTCTTCCTTAGAACTTAAGCTCTCATTCTCCTGGCTATTCTATTAAATATTTACAGTAGATTTCTTAGAATTCCTGTTGTGTATTTCACTTTTTGGACTTAAACACCTGCCATGTTAAAAGAACTGTAGGGAATGCAAACATAAATTAAGTGTGGACCTTAACCTTAAGGGTAGAAGATTAGTCTACTCAAATAATTACAAGAGAATGTAATAAGCAGTCATAAGGGAGGGATAATGATACATGGGTTTAAACCGGAATTCTTTGCTTGCGCAGGCATAGATGAAGAGGAGGCATTACAGGTAGAAGGAAATGTAAAGCAAATTAGAGATGGAAAATTCTGGGGTACACATTAAGGACAATACAAAATGTGATAGAGAATATGGGATTCATGAAAGAAAATAGTGAGAATAGTGGGAAGATCTATCAGTGTTTCTCAAAAAGTGCTCTGCAGGCAATGAACATTCCCAGCATTTATCAGGTAAGTCAGCGAATGATCCATAGGTAGTTTGGTGGTTTTACAAGAAAAATCAGTGACAGTATTTTATTAATATACTGTACTGGACAATCCAAAGTGCCTCCTCACATTCTCTCGGCCTAATCTGTCTCCTGTACTCCCAGCCACCACTCTCAGTGACAGCTCTATGTGATACCACTTAAAATATCTAATTCCTTTTATCACCCAGAATTCAGACGAAGGTAATACAGCACAAAATGGGACCTAGCTTGCCCAGAAGATGACAGGGTTCCAGGTGACTGAAGGTCCAAAAAGGAGTTTCAGGAGACTCTGTGAACCAAGGGCAATAATGGTTTTTTCTTCAATTTTACTCCTGTTATTTTTGAAAATGTCCTGGTGCAGGAGTCAGTCAGGGGATCACACTGTAAAAGTAATGTTATTAAAGCACACCAACAAATATAGGTATTTATCTATCTATGGTATAGTACTATATAACAGCCATCATTACCAATGGCATGACACTCAGATATTCTGTTCACTGTGACTAAATTAAGACATTACCTTTATTCAGGATTGACCTAAGTTGGAAAATCTGATAGGCATGAAAAGGAACAAATTTTACGAATCCTTTGTTTTCTCATTCCCTGCTAAGTGCCATGGGCACCCATAATTGGAGTCCTGCTGGTAAATTCATATGACCTTGACACAAGCAAGCTGATTTACAGCTTAAGGCAGAGGAAGAAAGCTAAAGTAGTACCTCTATCAAAGCATGTCATCTTCTCCAAAATTACTGCTATTTATTCCAAAAATTTGAAGCACATTATGAAAATAACTGGCAGCTCTCCATTTACCTTGCAAGTGGATACAAATCTTGATATGCGCAGCCCAACAAGATACTGGCTTATAACCATATAAAGAGGCCTCACAATAAAAGTTTCTCTGTTGTGAGGCCTCTTTAGAAAAAATGATGCTTTTCTCCATTTTCTACTGTAGAAAATTATTGGTATTTTATGTACATATGGAACACGTAATAAGTTTCTTCTGGGTCTGCTTCTTTGAAGAAGAAATAAAGCTCCACCCTCTGCTAGGACTCACTGTTTTTATATTGGCATGCGTGTGTATCAAAGTCTTTGGATATAACCATGAAGAAGTTCTGCCAATTCCCATAAAAGTCATTAAATGATCAATATTTAGGTCTTCAATTACCGCCTTTAGAAGGGCTTTTTCTTTTACTCCTAAGAAATGTGAACTAAATGTGAAGTGTTTCTATAACACAATGAAGTTTACTGGCTTCTTAGAGAGCAATCATCAAAACACTTCAGTGCTCTATTCCTTTTCTTCAGGAAATCACCAATAACTTTTACACACAGATACATGATATTAAGACAATTTTTCGTAAGAATTAATAGTAATTTCTGGGTTTATGTGCTGCATGTATTCTTCCTGGAAGAAAATGCACTTCTTTGAGGAAGTGAAGTAGGTATAGGTTTCTTTAAAGGGCTTCAGTTTATAATACATATTATTAGACCGCATTTCGCCACATTGAAACTGGGAAGCCTGTTTTTTTTCTGGTAATTTCTTAGTTTTCTCTCTCACTAAAACATCCCTACATCACTTCTGCTTCCTTCTGACTCAAACAGAACCAACCTTTGATGGATTGAATGGAATACCCAGGTATGAAGAGCCTCGGAAACCACAGCGATTTAGATTTGATCCTAGAAAATAAAAGCACGTGCTTACTTAAAGTATACTTTATTTTTGTACAGATTCTAAAGCAGTTTAATTTTCAAAAACAGACTATTTTAGTCTCCATTTTCACACTGGCTTATGCTGAATGCTTACCATGTGCCAGGTCCATTCTAGGTGCTTATAGAAATTTCCTCACTTAATTTCCATACCAGTCACAGACAACGTAATGATTTCTAACATGTACCTTTTTTTAATAGCCCACCTCACTGCCTATAAAGTGCTTTCATACTGCTCCTATAAGATCAATTTTTATGTGATCAACATATTCAATACCCCTTTCTATAGAACAGAAACAGAAGCCCAGAGGTTAAGTGACATGTTCAAGGTAACAGTAATAAGACAATAGGCTCTAGAATCCTAACTTTCCATTTATTGTCATTTTACTTTAACTCATTGCTTCTTTACATGTGAGCAAGCTAAAGGTATAAAGCTGCAGAGAAAATATGTACTCTATATTTCAGTATTAGCTAGACTTCATTCTGAGTCCAATAACCCACTTGGCTTTGAAGTATGTAGAATACTGTAAGTGAGCACTTAGTCTCTCTCTACTCAATCAAAATATGTTTATCCATACATCTTTTTCTATCTAAAAATTTTCATTTTGCAAGGTATTAATGGAATATAAGTTGGAAACTTGAGAACAATCAACTGTACAATAATTACGGTTTAAATAGCTATTAGAAAATCAGCATGATAGATGCAGAAAATAAGAATGTAGTATCAGTAGATTGTAAATACACTCCTGATAAAAAGTAGTATAGTTTTTCAGCTTCTTATCCTCCCTCCCCCGCCAAAATACTTAAAATAGTAGCTTACACATTAATTCTTTGAACAAATTAGGAACCACTAAATTTAAACTCTCCACCAATTATCATCTCCCTACTAGCAAAAAATGTATTTTAAAAAGATACTAGTTTCCAGGCGTGGTGGCTCACAGCTGTAATCCCAGCACTTTGGGAGGGAAGCTGAGGAGGGCATATCACCTGAGGTCAGGAGTGCAAGACCAGCCTGGTCAACATGGTGAAACCCCATCTCTACTAATAATACAAAAATTAGCTGGACGTGGTGGCACACGCCTGTAATCCCAGCTATTTGGGAGGCAGAGGCATGAGAATTGCTTGAACCTGGGAAGTGGAGGTTGCAGTGAGCCAAGATCACACCACTGTACTCCAGCCTGAGTGACAGTGAAACTGTGCCTCCAAAAAAAAAAAAAAAAAGATACTAATGGTAATTATGATTTCAGTGAATATGGTCTCTTATCCTTACTAAGGACTTTCAAATTGATAAGTCACTTAAAACTTGCCAATACATAACAGAAGTTATAAAAATGCTCATAATCTTTTGACCCAGTCATGACATATCTGAGAATTTACTCCAATTATTTCAAGTATGAGAAAGGTCATATGCATGGAAAGGCACACTGTAGTTTAATAATAATGAAAATCTAGTAAGTCCAACAGGTTAAGCACATCATGCTACATCTACTCAAAGGAACATTATAGTCCTATTAAAAGGACTATATTTAAAAGTAATAATCCTATTATTAAAAGTAATAATCAGTAAAACTATGTAGTGACACAGAGAAATATATTTGATCAAGTTAAGCAAAGCAGTAGGATTCAAAACTAAATGCACACTATTAGGTTTATAATTAAGCAAATGGCACATATCAACAACGACTGGAAGGGAATAAACAAAATAATATTAATGGTGTGAGATATGAATAAGGGTGAAATTTGTTCTCTGTATTAGTCACTGTTGCTATAGCAGACTACCACAAACTTAGCAACTTAAAACACCTACTGCCTTACTATTCTGTAAAGTCAGAAGTCTAACACAGGCATCAACAGGCTAAAATCAAGGTGCAAGCAGGGCTACCTTCCTTATTTGGAGGCTCTGGGGGAACAATCTGCTTCCAAGCTCATTCAGGATGCTGGCAGAATCAACTTCCTTGCAGTTGTGTGACTGAGGTCTCCATTTCTTTGCTGGCTGTCAGCTAGGTATCTGTTTTGCTCCTAGATCCTCTCTTGCCATTTCTCGTAGGGCCCCATATCTCAGAGCAGCAATGGCACTCAAATCCTTTCCATTAGGCCCTCTCTGACTTTCCCATCTCTCTTCTGCTCCCTTTCTCTGCAATTCTATGACGAACATTTCTGCGTTCTTCTGCTGCTCATGTGATTATACTGAGCCCACCTGTACACACATCACCTATGGATAATCTCTGTATTTTAAGGTCAGTTGATAAGCCTAACTTTAACTCCCATCTACAAAGTCCCTTCACAACGGTATGATCTCAGCTCACTGAAACCTCCACCTCCCATGTTCAAGCAGTTCTCCAACCTCAGCCCCCTGAGTAGCTGGGATTGATTACAGGTACCTGCCAGCACACCCAGCTAATTTTTTTTTTTTTTTTGAGACTGAGTTTTGCTCTTGTTGCCCAGGCTGGAGTGCAATGGCACAATCTCGGCTCACCGCTACCTCCACTTCCTGGGTTCTAGCAATTCTTCTGCCTCAGCCTCCCAAGTAGCTTGGATTACAGGCATGCATCACCACGCCTGGCTAATTTTTTTTTTTTTTTTTTTTTTTGAGACTGAGTTTTGCTCTTGTTGCCTAGGCTGGAGTGGAATGGCGCAATCTCAGCTTATCACAACCTCTGCCTCCTGGGTTCAAGTGGTTCTCCTGCTTCAGCCTCCCAAGTAGCTGGGATTACAGGCATACGCCCCCCTACATCCAGCTAATTGTTCTTTTTTTTTTTTTTTAAGTAGAGACAGGGTTTCTCCATGTTGGAGAAACTGGTCTCAAGCTCCCAACCTCAGGTGATTCGCTCACTTTGGCCTCCCAAAGTGCTGGAATCACAAGCGTGAGCCACCACAATTTTTGTATTTTTAGTAGAGGCAGGGTTTCATTATGTTGGCCAGGCTGGTCTCAAACTCCTGACCTCGTGATCTATCTGCCTCAGCCTCCCAAGGGGCTGGGATTACAAGTGTAACCCATTGCACTGGGCCACATCTTTAGAATTCTACCTGACACATCCCCCATATTCCAAATTGTACATAATGCTATACTTGAAAAAAAAGTTATCTTTCTCTTACCAAATTATGAATTCCTTTATTTTTTTTGAGACAGAGTCTTGCTCTGTCACCCAGGCTGGAGTGCTGTGGCATGATCTCAGCTCACCGCAACCTCATCTCCTGGGTTCAAGTAATTCTCCTGCTTCAGCTTCCCAAATAGCTGCGTAGTAGACAGGCATTGCCATGCCTTGCTAATTTTTATATTTTTAAATAGAGACGCGGTTTGATCATGTTGGCCAGGCTGGTCTTGTACTCCTGACCTCAAGTGATCCACCTGTCTTGACCTCCCAAAGTGTTGGGATTACAGACATGAGCCACCACACCCGGCCTATTCTTTTATCATCACTTGTTTTAATCCCTCTCTAGTTGGATGAGGGGCAGTGTCAAAAGACATATTTTCCTATATAATTTAAAAATTTTTAAATCTTTTTTCTCTTTTTGTTCTTGGGATTGTCTTTTTTAAAGTACATCCTTTCAAGTTACCAATTTGTTGACAGTCCTCCATAAAAATATGATCCCATTTCTACTTTTGATGGAAGACAGCTCTGATACCATCTGTCAGGTCTGAATTTATTTATACTTTTAACTGGATACCTTTCTTGAGTCCCCCACCACCTTAAACAATTCTGTCAGGTATTTTACATAGAGGCAGACATATAGTAGCAGTTCAATAAAATATCTGCTTCCGAGTGAAATAAATGAATTTACTCATTTTCTTAAAGGTAAATCAATAAATGACATTTCTGTTTGCTCACTTCTGTTTTTAGCTTGATTAAATAAATAACTTTTCTGAAAAGTGGCAGAAATATTGATATTCAAAAGTACCATATAAGGTTAGGAGATTATGGCATGGACACTTGGAATCAAACTCGGGATGCTATTCTTCCTATCAATGAGTTCGACGGGCAAGTAACATCATCTCTGAGCCAGATCCCTCCATTTTTGAACTAGGAACAATAATGTATTGCAAGTAATACAGTTCAGTCTTCTTGTAAAGGTTAAAGGACATGTTTAGATTGTGTTTAGCAAAGTGCAACAAGGCTTAATAAACAGTAACCATTCAAAATCAGTTAATTATATTTTATCAAAAGTGAAACAGGAAGAAATTAATAGATTTTGTTGCAATTTATAAAGGAAAGTTTCTTTAAAGTAAAAATGCTTTTTCTTTTTTTTTTTTTTTCAAAAAGACTATATGCTGTCATGAAGAAAGTGTTTGGATCTTAAGCACCACAGTCACAGTAAATGGAAAAGATAATGTAATATTTCTTGCCCTCTTCTTGATCACCTGTGGTATATTAAGCTGGATAAAGAAGTTTATTCTTTATTCTAAAGTTTATACTTTATTCTATAGTAAGAGGTTTTACTATTTCATATGGAAAGCTAAGAGAAAGTATCTAAGAAATGACGAAGGTTACTCATCCACTAAATTATCAGTTACACCCTTAAATCATAAAGTTTTAAAAAATGATGGTCATTAAGAGGTAACATTTTCACCACTTAAAAATTTTCACCACTTAAAAAATGTATGGTACGGCACAGTGGTTCACGCCTGTAATCCCAGCACTTTGGGAGGCCGAGGCAGGCAGATCACAAGGTCAAGAGATCCAGACCATCCTGGCCAATACAGTGAAACTCTGTCTCTACTAAAATACAAAACTTAGCTGGGAGTGGTGATGCATGCCTGTAGTACCAGCTACTCAGGAGGCTGAGGCAGGAGAATTGCTTGAACCCAGAAGGCTGAGGCTGCAGTGAGCTGAGATCATGCCACTGCACTCCAGCCTGGTACCTGGCAACAGAGCAAGACTCTGTCTCAAAAAAAAAAAAATTATTCGGCACTCTTTTCTGGTTTCTGTCAAGATTTGTGTGCTCTTGTGCTTTCCTTTATAATTCTAGTACGCTTACCTTTTCATGATAATTAAGGAAGTATACACACGCAATTCATTCTAAATTGATCCCTGAATGCATACTCTGGGTACAATACAAATTTATCTCCAGGTTATCAAACTGCACCATCTAGTGTTTCTATCAGTTCCAAAACAAACTGAAATATTTTTATGTGGTGTGGCTGCCAATCAGAAACAACTGCCTATTTTGAGAAAGCATAGATGCCTCTTGCATCCCCTCTCCCATGCCTTCATAAAAAGCATGAGGATAGAGCCCAGAAAATTGTATTTAAAAAGAAAAACAATTCCTGTTTGACACATAGTCAGAATCAAGAAGTACTGATTTGGTAAATGTATTTTCCACTTTTGTAGAACCACAGAGTCAAGCTAGTTTATGTTGTTAACTAGAAGTCCTCTAGATAGCAATATATCATAAAAATTGAGGTTACTTAAGAAAAATGAAAACTGGGTAGATGAGAAAGGTAGCAAAAATGGGAATATGTATATGGATGTAATGTGTGTATTTATGTGTAAGTATGCAGGAGTGTGTCATTAGATGTTTATAGTTATCAACTATAAAGAAAAATAATTCATTTATTAGCATGTCTACACATGGAAGAAAATTATTAAGTTGACTCTTGCCTCATGACTGAGTCCTATCTCACTTTAAAACTTAGTGTTTTACTATTAAGCTCATAAAACCAACTATGTCAAGCAGTAAAAGATAGAACATTTATATATTCTTTAAAAACGATTATCAACTTATGGAATATAAAACTTTGAGAGTTTAAAGAGGTTTATTTTAATCAGGGGAGTTGCTTTTCATAAAAAGTAATATGCTGTGTTGTGAAATATAAAATTACATTCAAAATTATATTTAGGTATAATAAAGGACAACTCTTGGGCCAAAATATCACCATACTATTAATGATGATTATGCTGCTTAAATATATTTCAAAACTGATTTGCTCATGTTAACTTTCTAATCCTCATTTTAAAAGTTTTTGCACTAAGCAAGCGGAATTCAAGTGATGGATGTGGCTACTTTCTGATTTTAAAAGGAACATTTTTATTTTTTATGCATAGAGAATTCTTTATAAATCTCAAGAAACACAGTTTCCTAATAAGAAGACACACCTTACACAACTTGTTTAAGGATGTCAAGAAAATACCAGACAAGGTAAATGAAAAATTTTATAGCTAAAAAAAATTTTAAATATATTTTCCAAATTTCACAGATTTTAGAATTGGACCTACACCAATTAAAGAAAAGTCAGACAGGAGATATTCTTTCGTAGAGATTAGAGAGTAATACTTCCCTCAACAAGATCACAAATTGAGAATTCAGAACTGCAGCTGAACTGTGAAAAGGTCTGTGGGATGGTCTACCAGACAACTGACCTGGGAAAGATGGATATATAAATGAACACTGTGAAACTATTTTTGCTAAAACTTCTTAATCTATAAAATTTATAAAACAGATGACCTATAATTTTTAAAACATGCAACATGCTTGACTTAGCCACAGGAAACCAAACTTACTTCCCCCGTTATTTTTTTAAAAAGTGAGCAATCTGAAGAATCCACTAAAAAAAAATGAAAGCATTAAACATCTTACCCTTTAAGATTAAACCTTATCTACATTTCCAAACACTTAATCCTAATACTTTATGGGATCTATCAAGGAACAGATACTCAATTTTCCTCTAAAGCTGTAAGATAGCCTCCGAGTTCCCATGAGAAAAATCTGTACCTCACAGAAAAACATGCATGGTAAACAGTACCTATTGCACTGAATCAGCATATATAAGTAAAATATCCAAAGGATTGGAAAACTGCATTCTAATCTTGTCTCTAGCATTAACTAGCTGTATTACTGTGGACAAATTATCAATCTTTCTGAACCTTAATATCCTCATTTGTAAAATGATGGACTGTAATATTCCTCGCTTTAACTCTAAAATTCTCTGGTTGTACCCTCAAAGAAGGGCACACACAATTCCCAACCTGACCCCTTGTATTTCCTTAATTCTTCCCTTCTGAAGTTAATGAGAAGAACCCAATCCTCCAATGGTCTCACCATACACTTATTACTAGGAAACCACTAGGGTCTTTATAATCCTGGAATTAAGTGGAGGCCAGGATTAACTTCGATTAAATATTCACAACGTCCTTATATGCCAAACATGATAGTCTCCACCAGGGACCCATATACTTAAACAGTAAAGCAACACTGAAACTTAAGAGTCAGAAGTGCCAGATGTCAATCCAATTCTATCTCTTATCATCTGCGTGAGGTTTCAGGCAGGTGTCTGAATCACTTTGCCCCTCAGTTCCTCTTAGGGCAGGTGAAGAACAAATCTATTTGATTATGTATTTGGCAGTGCTTAAAAAATTATAAAAGAGTTAATAATGTACTGCATTATTTCTTCCATTAACAAAAATCACTGTAAGGCTGAGGGCCCCACAGGGTCGTGGGGTATCCCTTATGCTGTGCTGAGGTGCAGGATCTGAGAAATAGAGAAACAGGACACAGAAGTACAAGGAAAATGCAGCTGGGCTCAGCGGGGCCAAGCCACCTATAATTGGAGTCAGGCGAGGCCCCGAATGTTCAGAAGCGGCAGTATCTAATGTGTATAGGTTAGGAGGCAGGGCAGTGAGTGAAGTCATCTTTAAGGATAGTGATAGGATCGTGAGCAATAAAACAAGGGGTCCACCCCCATTAGATTACCTAGGCTAGGAGGTGGACAGTGCACAGCAAGGGGTCCATTCCCATTAGGTCATCGAGGCAAGGAAGTGGGCTGTATACAGTAAGGGGTCCACCCCCATTAAGTCACCGAGGCATGGAGACGGGCCATGCACAGTGAGGAGGGTGCAGTGTGCAATACCTCTATCTATGAGCAAGCTACTTCTAAGAAGATTTATAGGAGGATGCTTTAAGTCACACAGCAGTGACAGAGCTGTCAGGGTTACCACCACCTGCTGGCAGCTTCCAATGAGTTCTATAGGAAGATGCTTTTCGAGCAGCACAGTAACAAGAGCTGACAAAATTCACAGTCACCAAGGTGTGATTATCTGGAGGAGTTTTGAGCCCTCGGATACTCGAGGGATTGCCGGTCTGAGGGCAGCCTTCCACAAGAACTGGAGCAAGGTCCTACAACTCCTTTATCAGGAGGAGTGGCTCTTGCCCCAAGCCTGTGATACAGCAGGTATCTTTACGATACTGAAAGCTGCTGCCTGGGCCATGGATTCTTGTCCTAGTATAACTGTTTTTCCCTTAAATAATGCTCTGGACTGTGTCTACTCTGGGCATTCCTCCAATTATGAGCTGCTTATTCCTTAATTCATGCTCTGTACCGTGTCTACTCTAGGCATTCCTCCGATTATGAACTAAGATATAGTTATATAGGAAATAACTGAGTGGTGAGATATTCTTTAGGTACTCATGCTGTGAACTAATATATGATTATATAGAGAGAATTATATAAAAGGAAATAACTGAGTAGTAACACTATAAACTGAGATAATCTTCAAGCCCTAATTCTATAAACTAATATATGATTATATGAAGGATTATATAAAAGGAAATAACTGAGTAGTAACACTATAAACAGATATTCTTCAGATCTTAATTGTGCCAGAATTCTGCTTAGCTCTCCTTCCTCCATGCCTGTATGGGAGGTTACCCACAAATCACTATTTATGTATAACTATGCAACTTTTAGTTTTTATTTCACATGTTTTGAAGAGAGTTTAAGCTAAGTATTTTTCTAATTTAAAACCTCAAGTACAGAAATATATTTACTGTAATCATTCAAACAATTCAGATATATAGAAAAACAGTAAAGAATCTTATCTTGCCATCTCCCACCTCTGTTCCCATCTACTTCCCCCTCCACAAAGATTTTCTATGTATCCTTTGAGTTTTTCTGATAGATTGTTAAACCACCTCTGTATATGTTTTAAATTTATCACTTAATCATACATGATACAGTTCAATGTCTGTATACATATATACCTCATTTGCTGCATAATATTCTTCATAGTTTATGTAACTCACTTTTGATGAACATTTATTTTGCTTCTAATTTGTTACTGTAACAAACACTGCCAAAACAAGCTAATATATATTTTTGTGCACATGTATTGGTTTCCAGAGGTCGTATCAAATTACTACAAACTTGATGCTTCAAAACAACAGAAATTTACTCTCTCACAGTTCTGGAGTCCAGAGTCCAAAGTCAAGGTGTTGGCAGTGCAGCTTTTCTGGATACCCTGAGGGAGGATCTGATTTGATTTGTGCTTCCCTCCTAGTTTCTGATAGCTGTGGGATCCTTGGCATTCCTTAGCTTAATGAATCTCTCTAATTCCTGACTCTTTCTTTATCCAGTCTTTCCCCTCGGTGTCTCAAATCTCTCTCTCCTTTCACTCATGATGCACCAGTCACTGAATTTCAGGCTCACCCTAAATCCAGTATGATCTCATCTCAGGATCCTTAAACTAATTACCTCTGCAAAGACTATTCCAAATCAGGTCAAATTCTGAGGTTATGAGCTTTATGGGGCCACTGCTCAACCCATTACAGCATACATGAGAATATGGCAGATAGGGCAAAAAAAAAAAAAAAAAATGATACTGCTAAACTGCCCTTCAAAAGGTTGTAATAATTTTCACCTCCATCAACAGAATATTAAAGTTCTCTCTCCCCCATATTCCCAGCAAATTGTAGCAAAACTGACATGTTAGATTTAAAAAAATAATAATGTAACATTGTTTTGATTGAATTTCCCTGATTTCTATTAAGGTTAATCATCTTTTTATATATGTATTGACTATCTGTACTGCTTAAGTACTTACTCATAAATTCTGTCATTTTCTAAAGGACAATGTATCTTTTTCTTTTGAATCTTTAACAATTCTTTATAATCTATGTTAATATTTTATTATATAAAAGCCGTAATTTACTGCAAATACATCACTTATTTGTTATCTTTTAATACATAAACTATTTACATATTTATTTAGTCAAATCTATCAAACTTTTTCTTTATATTCTTTAGGTTTTGTTTAACATTTTTAGATTTGATAATTCCCTAGATTTTATGTGGTGTCTTGAAGTAAGACAAGTACAGACCTATGAGTTGCAGAAAGCATATTCTATCAGTTTGCAAATGCTTTATGAATTAGAAAATATTTGAGAAGCTAGATGAGGCCCTAGGCTAAATATGAAAATATATAAAAGAGGAAGAGAAAAGTTGGATAAGAGGCAAGTAGTTTAACAGTCTAACAACTACTGATACATAACAATGTTTTAAGCACTGAAAGGGAAAAGAAATAGAAGACACATTCACTCTGTCTGCCTTCCAGAAGTTTACAATTCAGGTGGAAGCAAAAACATTTTAATAGAAGACACATTCACTCTGTCTGCCTTCCAGAAGTTCACAATTCAGGTGGAAGCAAAAACATTTTAAGTAACTTTTAAGCAGCAATGACTGAAGAAAAAACAATAGCCATGAGCTTCAAACCAATGAAGTCCATGGAGTTAACAGTATAATGGGAAGGAGAATTCTGATGGGTCTCAAAAGGGATGGTGAACTGCGACTCCAACTCCAAAAACTTTTTAAATTTTCCCTGAAGTATAATAAACATAAGAAAACTACTCCTATCGTAAACAGCTCCATGAACTTTTGCAAAATAAACTCACCTGTACAACCAGCACTCAGCTCAAGAGAAAGCACATGACTAGTACTACAGAAGCCTTTCCCACTACCTTCTGGTACTCCCCAAAAGCCCAGACAGGCTTTACCTATTTTTGTATTTTGCAAAAACTGAATGATGTAAAATGTATTTCTTTCTCTCAAAAACATGTTTGTGACACTCATTCAAACAACTGCATGTAGCTGTAGAGTGTTCATTCTCATTATTGTATCATTTTCTATGTTGTGAATATGCTAATATATCCTTTATCCATTATACTGAAGATGGGTCGGCAGACTCTATAATTACTAGTTCTAGGCTCTTATAAAAACACTGTTATAAACATTCCAGAACATATCTTTTGGGGAACATGTTTTCATTTGTGCTGGGTATATACTAAAATTGTTGGGTCACAGAACATACATACACTCAGCCTTAGTAAATATAACTAAATAGTTTTCCAAAGCAGCTATAAAATTCCTTTAGCAGTGAATGAGAGTTCCAGTTTGCTGCATTTTTGTGAACATTGTTATTTTTCATCTTTTTCATTTTTAGCCATTCTGGTGATTATGTAACAAAATTATTATGGATTATATGAAACTTCAGATAATAGCACCTCTCACAACACAGATGAAATAACAAGAAGTATGTAGCTTTTTAAAACAATATAGATATAAACATGTTTAAAAACTCATTTCATTAATAAAATGATAGGAAGAAACTTATTAAAGAAGAAACCAAAAATGTTGCTCAATCACAGAGACTTCAAATAGTCCTTAAAAGTGGGGGGAAATAGAAAAAAAGAAAGTAGGAAGCATGGTAAGTGACCAATGGTCTGGAAACTATAACCTGCAGCTTGGTTTCTCTCATTAAATGTTATGGTTCATCCTTTTCTATAAACACCATAGCTATTTTATTTCAGGAGAATGAATATCAGTAAATTTTTAATTAAAAAATAATATAAAAATATATTTTGGCAAGAACTTAGAAAACAGCTTTTCTATGTACCACAGTGTATATGATTTCCTATCTGTAGCATGTAAGATACATTTTTTTTTTTAAACCTGCAGTGTATTTTGGATCTGGGCATATACTAATAATTTAAAAAAAAATACCAAGCACAATCTGTAATATTGCTACCATACATCTGTCTAATAATTAACTTTTTAAAAAATCCCAGACTTTCACTCAAACTATTAAAAAACATCCTGGCAAAAAGGGAAAACAACAAATGACTTGTATTTTGCAAGTGACTAGGAGTATGATCCAGCCTTAGCCATATGCTCCTGGAAAATGAGGACCATATCTTATAACTTATCACAGCCCTTTTCTACAGGTTTAGAAGAGTAGTACTCTTCGCAGACAATTCAATAAAGCCTACTTGTCAACATGCTAGATCTGTAACTATTGATCAAATTCTTATATATGCTTCTCATGAAGCTGGTAAAAGTGTTTAGATGTTTATATATTTAATTCTGATAAACCTAGTTCAAAATGCTTAATCATTTTAAATAAGAATTTGTAAATAGGCTTAGAATTTAAAAAGTATATAAAGACAAACATTACGAACTTCAAGAACAAAGTAGAAAGCCACAAACTATGTCCAAGATCATATGTCAAATAGAGAAAATCTTTCTAAGTAAACTTTAGCTTATTATTTCTCTAAAGTTCACTGGATGAGATTTACATATGATTTCTCCAACCAATGAACCATACTGCTAATCTGTAACTGCTGACTCTTTAAAGACAGATAAGTGGTGACCCCCCGCCCCACCCCGCCACACACAGCACGAGTTTCTAGGAGTTTGTTTGATGTTTTTAAGGTTGAAATTTATAACCTGTATAAGTTACATCTTAGATATTTTATACTTACTAGAGTGAATAAAAGTTAATAAAACTTGCATATTTGTAGTTGATTATGTAATTTATGAACTCAGAATTCACTTAATCAAAAATTTTAAAGTATTAATAAGTATAAAAATGACTGAAGCATACATAAGAGCTCTAAGAAACCATTAAGAATGCTAATAAAACACTGGAGGGAAAATAACCGGGAAACTGAAAGAAAACTTTTGATGGCAAGGAGTTTTTCACTGAAAAGAATTGTTGGGAATGAAAAAAAAGCTAATGTTACAGAACTAATAAAACATAAATACTGACTATAAATAATCAACAAGTAGTCATCAATGTGGAAGTGTACAACACAATATGGTGCCACAACAGTGAATCTCTATTTAATTCCAGGTAACTCCAAATTATTTTTTTAAATGATTATGATCAGATTTGCTAAGTACTGTATTTCAACAGAATGTCAATGCCACGTTATAGGGAAATCACAGATAAATAAAATATGTTAACAGTATATGAGTAAGTACTAAGATTTTCTAGCCCAATGCATGTTTATGTCAGATACAACTAGTCACACTAAAAATAAAATGCTAAAAACTCACTCACTGTCTTCTGTGGGAAGGACCTGCAGGGAGTAAATCCACTCTATTATATCATCTTTGTTCACCACATCTAAGGAATCCAACATATCCAGCCCGGAGAGTGCAAAAAATGCAATTGTCAACCTAAAAGAAAAAAAATGTAAAATTCCATCTTAACTATCAAACCACTTAAGTCTGAAGTCTTTCTCATCAAGAAAAATAATAAAATCATTCTACTTTTCTAATAATTTAAACAATACTAGCACTTTGCAAAAGCCAAAAAAAAAAAAGTATTCTTATAACTTAATATTACCAGTCAAGCCTTTGTTTCAATTTTTCAAAAGGGGACATTTGGGGTTAAGAAACAAATCCTACCCACTTTATTTTCCCACAGACATGACCCATTGAAGCCAGAATATCAGCAAACTGAAGGCTAGAAGTAGATATGAAAAAGGATTCTCTACAACTAATCAGTACAAATAGCACAGGGACTAAAAATACATTAAAATGTCAATTTTCACTAATTTGTCAGGATCAATTATACTTGTAGTTGGCATTTAACTCTGGAGGAATGTGAGAATAACATCTTAATTCAAAGGTGTTAACAACATGACTCCTTGGGAAAATATTTATAAGTTTTGAGAAATATCAAACGTTAAAAAATGCAAATGTACTTACACTTTATTTTCCCAGAAAGGAGCATTCTTTGATGGAATGAAAAACTATAGAGCAAAACCTTCCCGCTCTAAGACTGTACACTATAAATCAGAAATCTAAACCTATGCTTTCGTATAAAAATCAGTAGCTTACCGATTGCTTTAAACACAAAGAATTTGTTTTTTTTTTTTTTTTTTTTTTTTTTGGGGGGGGAGGAAGGCAGGAAGGAAGGGAAGAAGGACGGTAGGGAGGAAGGAAGGGATGAAGGAAGGAAGGAAGGGAGGAAGCGGGGAGGGAGAGAATTTGTTATATAAAATTCCTTTCATGTTGAAAAGCAGTATAGCTTGATTGAGTAGTGTTAGATCCTTTCCATAATCTAACAATTCATATGAGTAATAGTAATAAATTAATACTTCAAATTATCTGGTCTAAAATTTTACAGCAGAGCTACTTGATGTATTCTGTAACCCTCTCAATGAAGATTCTAAGAAAGAACAAAGCCTTAATGCTCTGAGGTATCCACTGTCTGTAATAAATTTACTTCTCTCCTGTGCCTCAAGAATAGTATTATCTAGACTAGTACTACAGTTTGAGTATCTCTTATATGAAATGCTTGGGACCAGAACTGTTCCAGATTTCAGATTTTTTTGAATTTCAGAATATTTGAATATACAAAATGAGATAATATCTCACTGGGATAGGACCCAAGTCTAAATACGAAATTCATTTATATTTCATATACATCTTATACACACATAAAGCTTATTTTATATAATACTTTAATAATTTTATACATGAAACAAAGTTTGCATTAAATACTTATATGTGGAATTTTTCACTTGTGGAGTCATGTCCAGTGCTCAAAAAGTTTCAGATTTTGGAGCCTCTCAGATGTTTGGATTAGGGATGTTCAACTTGTACCAACTTTAGAAGAAATGAGAAAATAGTCATTTCTTTTCTTTTCTTTTTAGGGCATAATTATCTCTCAGATCCCTGGTGGAAAAAGACTAGCATCCATTAGATAACAGGAGGAGATATCAGAGAGTAATTTAATTCCAACCAAAGCTTAAGGGCAAAAACTAAAACTAAAGAGATTTGGGTGCACTTAAGAACAATAAATATTTGGGAAGCATATCATTGAGAGACTACTACCATGTATTAGACACTGAACTGGGAAATTTCTCATATATTATTTCAATTTAATCCTAACACCACACTGAGATCTATCTGCATTAGAGAGGTAATTTATCTAGGTAAGATCAGGATTATATTAAGGCTGATTATATTAAACTCCTTTATATGGGAAGCAATGTTGCATGGTAGTTCAATGTTCAGACTCTGTAGTCAAATGAGCTGGGTTCAAATTCGAAGTTGGCCAATTTCACTAGACTGACCACGTGACTCTGGGCAGGATACCTAAAGTTTTCTAATCAGCTTCCAATAATAACATAAATCATTACTATATTTTATACAGCTACTGTGCTTACCTGCTCACAGTAAGCACTCAATAAATGAAAGCCATTATCATTGGTGTTTGCTATGATGTAGAGGAACAGGAGTAACAACAACTTTAGGATCTAAACACACCCTATAACGCTACAGGCCTTTTCCATAGACTCTTGGTTTTAACGATTTTCTCCAGAGGAACATGCTTTTCCTAAACACAATGATACTTCAGACCTGGGAAAAATCTCTCCATATGAGCAACAAAGTTTGACAATCACTGCTCTTCTTGGTGGTAATTATGTCTCATGAGGTAAGGTCTTCTTTGTTTGCATGCACTCAAATATTTACTGAACTAACTAATAAGGACCTGCAATATTAAATCTACCCTTCTGGAGAGCTCTAACAGGGTTTTTGGTTCTAATGTAATACATAAAGTGAATGATTATCTTTATAGTTAGATACAACTAAGCATCTACTAATGTGGTTTATCAAAACATTATCAAGGAAAAGAGCAAAAGCAAGACAGCAACAAACGTGGAGAAAAACATGAAGGACTTGAGGTTGGATAATGGATAAAACAAAGATCTTCCTACCAGTAAAAGCTATGTAGCAAGAATTTATGCAAAAGGCTTTAAAAACAAGTTGGCATTTTTTCTAAATTAAGAAATTCAGAAATAATCTAGCCCATCTCTTTAATTTTCTAACTGAAGAAAATAAAGTTCAAAAAATTCAACTAATTTACTTGAGATTTCAACACTAGACAATCAAAACTACTCAAGAAGTCTAGGTCTCAAAGTGGTGTTCTCCACAAGGGTGCTTCTCAAACCTGGCTACACATTAGAATCTGTTTAAAAACAAATGACCAAAACACTACCAACATAACAGAGAGAGACCAAGGTCCTACTTCACAATCAAATCTATGGGTGTAAGGTGGGGGGGCTAGGCACTTTGGGTTTGTTTTTAACTTCCCAGGTAATTTTAATGTGCAGGCAGGTTTGAGAAGCACTGTTCTAGAACAGTGGTTCTCTAATGGGAACACTGCCCCTAACCTAACATATCATGATCAAATGTTCTTGGTTGCCACAGTGGAGGAGGGAGTTACTGGTATTGAGTAGGTAAAAGCCAGGGCTGCTGTTAAATGTCCTACAATGCACAGGACAGGCCCATACAACCAAGAACTATCTGGCCTAAAATTTCAGTAGCGCTGAGGTTGAGAAAACCTGCTCTAAAGTCATACTCTTATCTGTATGTTATTTAAATGATCTGTTGTCATGTTACTTGCTCCTGAATATGAATGCACTTTATTTATGTCTAAGTACCAAATACAAAAAATCAGCCATGTGATGGTATTTTAAAATCTTGCATATTTAATTATTAAGGGTTCCCGGAAGTCCAGCATTTTCAACTCACAGGTGAAGACCTAGGTTGAGACCATAAGGTTTATGAGTTATAATGGGGTTTTTGTTTATAAGGTCAGGTCCCATCAGAAGTGCCTGGCAGATAGGACCAATATGTCACTTTGGGGCAAATGTCTGGCCTCCCTTTAAAATACTTTGGGAAACCATTCCTCTTCAGATCACACCAGAATTCTCAAGTAGTCCTAAAACTGAAAGAGCGATAATTAAAACAAGCCACAAAAAAACACAAAGGAATTCTGGGCTGTGGGCCTCTGAGAGAAATAATATAATGTAAGGTTTTATGGTTCCTTGATGACTTCTACTTGGGAATAAACTGCTGGGCAATCTGACTCAGCACAAGTGTATGGAGGGGTAACTGTGCTAACACATACACCTAAAATCAGGCCAATGGAGTATTTTTACTTTATTACTTCTTTCAGAGAATATTTGTTTATTCTCTTTCTTCTTTTCCCTAGAACTCAGTCTGAGTCTCCAGCCTGAGAAGTGGACATAAGCAAGCAATATCTTTCTGTTCACCCACTCTGATATGTTTAAGAAGTTTGTCTTACAAGGATGAAAAAGTAACAACCCCAAACCCCAATCAAGTTGCTTTACCAAAGAATCAATTCACAGACAAGAGGGTTAACCTAAGTGTCTCCAAAAGACATCAAATATTCCAGGCTTAAGAACACACATACCCCAAAGATTAAATAAGAACATGAAGGCCAGGGGTGGTGACTCACACCTATAATCCCAGCACTTTGGGAGGCCGAGGTGGGTGGATCACCTGAAGTTGGGAGTTCAAGACCAGCCTGACAGAGATGGAAAAACCCCACCTCTATTAAAAACACAAAATTAGCTGGGTACAGTGGCGCATGCCCTGATCCCAGCTACTTGGCAGGCTGAGACAGGAGAATCACTTGAATCCAGGAGGCAGAGGTTGCAGTATGCAGAGATCCCACCATTTCATTACAACCTGGGCAACAACAGCAAAACTCTGTCTCAAAACAACAACAACAACAAAGAATGAAAAACAGTCTATAGTCTGGACAGTGGAAAACCAACTTAGTCATACCGACATAATATAAATACTATTTGGCTAGAGTAGTGAGTGACAATTTGGAAATATATTGGAAACTAATTTATGAGAGTTGACTAGATTCCAAAACTTTGGATCCCTTGCCCTGACCATTTCTGGTGCAACCCCATCCTTTACTGGCCTCTCCAAGTGTCTTCAACAACGGACTACATTTCTGCTTAGATACCAGATGGGACTATGGCTACATCATATTGCAGAGTTCTAAAATTATAAACAAGCAGCTACTTTAAGAAATAAGAACACAAATAAAATTAATAACCATGTCAGTGAAGAGAGAGCCTTACAGGATACATTAGAATTAATCATGAAATTAAAACACTAGCACATAGATGCTGCCATAATACTTGGAAACAAATGACTGAAAGACTGCATGAATTCTGCAATTTTAAGCATTATTCTTCATTTATAATTATTTTTCAATGGCTGATTCATCTGGTAAATATTTTTAAGTACAGGCACACAGTTGTGGAATTATTTAATTTGTAAAATAGTTTTTCTACTATCCTAATTTTTCAATAAGAAACATCTACTGAACACCTACTACAGATTAGATGTCATGACAAAAGTAAATAAAGCTTCCTAACCATAAGGAGGTTACATGTTAAGTGCTATTATAGAAGTCATCTTCTTCCTTTCTAAACTGGCTCCTTTTGCCCCTTATTCTCCAGACGGGATGGTTGTTCCAATTTAGGAATCCTGGGATGACGACTCCTTCTTCATCCCCTCTTTTCTAGCTCTACTTCCACTGCCTCAGCATCTCTGTCCTGGAGTACCATATCAGTGCCCTCACTGGTCTCCCTAGTGCTGGTCCCGTACCACGTGATATATGACTATTGACTATTCCTGTCACATGATATCTAACTCAAGTTTCTAGACAAGCACACAAAGCTTTCCATGATCTGATGCACGCCTACCTCTTCAGACTACATTCCTACCACATCCGTTTACATTTTGAACCATTACTAGAAAACTCAGTGAAGTTTTCTGCTCAACATTCACTTCTCCGGCTTTATTCTTCTTATTGTCCATTTGCAACAACAACAACAACAAAAACTGGAACATACTCTTTAAGATTTAGTTTCAGAGTTACTTTTTCCAAGAACCCTTCTCTAAGTCCCTGTCTCTCTTTAGGTTGAACTACTTAGGTATTTCCAGAATGCCCTCAGACTATCACAATCATTTTGTCAGGGGATTAAACACAGCAGAATCATCTGGGAACCTGTCACCATCTCAGACTCACACTCAATATCACACTTCTCAGCTACTGCAATATACTTTAACAGGCTGCTTCATGCAATACTGCACCTCTTTGGCCTATCATTAGATTTATAGCTCCCAAAAAGTATCTAAGACCTCAGATTCTCTGCTGCTCCTACACGTTAAACACCATACACTCAATTAAGAGTTAATGACTTTACAGAGGACAGGGATGCACAGGAATCATCTAAAAATACAACAACCCAGGCTTATGCAATCAGAATCTGTATTTTAACAAGATCCCCAAGTGATTCACATGCACATTAGATTAGGGATCACTGCTGTAAAAACTGCGTATTTGTTTCTCCTATAAGGCAAAGTCTCTAACTTTAGCCTGCATTAGAACCACCTGAGATGCTTGTTATAAGGCAGACTCCCAAGGCCCACGCAGAATCCAATGAAAGTCTGGGAAGGGGCATTTTCATAAGCAGACAGATGTCTTTACTTAGAGCTTCTCACCACCACACTTCGAAAGATGTACTACTAGACTGTGATATACTTAATGTAAGGGAGGAAATAAAGAACAAAGTAGTTGCAGAATGGGAGGCAGCAGAGAGGTTAAAACACAGGATACATAGGGAAAACAGAGGGACATGAGAATACAAAGGCTAGTTAGATTGTAAATGCCTTGTGAAATTAAAGCTAATTGCCTAAACCCTTCTTCTAGAACAGCTGGATATGCAAAATAACAGAAAATTGTCATACTTTGTTCCTTAATAAAAAGCACTACTCGAATTCCTATTACCCAAATACAAACGGCACAATAACTCATAACCACACAAAACTTCCTAAACTATTTATAAAAGAAATCTGTAAGTGATAAAGCTTCCAATCCAAGATATAATATTTACTTGAACTATAAACTAGTAACTATCATTTTAAGAAGTTAATATAAAAGAAAAATCTCTCATGAAACCATAGAAAATACACTTTATTTTCATAAAGTCACTGTTACTAGAAAAGTAAAAATTATTCCTATTAGGCTAAAAGAAACAGGGAAATAAAGTAATTTTGCCAAAATGGTGAGTCAGAAAATAAGTGTCTAAATATCCAGTCTAATATTAGCCTTCTCAAAGGCCAGCTTTTTCATACCTATTGGTTAAAAAAAAAAAAAAAAAAAAAAAAACAGAGGAACACCTGAATCATTGGTTTAACACCGTATTCCTGTAGTTAGACGCATGGGAAGGCACTCTATAAATGACTGTGGAATTTAAGTGCAATACCTCAGAATTGTGGCTTGCCCAATGTATTGTTTTTCTTACAAGTCAGCAGAAACTTTGTGACCAGTTACCTTTGCTGAAAAGGTTGGGGCTTCTTCACAAGCATCTTAAAGTCAGTATTGAATCACATGCACCACCAAAGAACTTAGTGCTAAACTAAAGAAAATACTGTGAGTCAGCAAAGAGAAAAACTTAAATCACTACAGGAACTGATATATACAGTTATCCTAAATGCAGTTATTAAGTGAGCTCTAAGAAAACCAAAATGACATAAAAATTATATTCATGTGATAAACACTAGACATAAAGGGATATAATATTGCTTAACCAATGCACCAAGGTATTATACAGCTATTATCTAATATATGACACCTGGTGTCAATCCTATGCTTATATTAAAGTTATTAAATCAATTGTTAAATGAGTTGAATCAGAAAATTTGTGCTGTTTAACATGCTGTGAGCAGAATTACACAGTTTAATGCCAATATGCATTATTCTATAGGGATTTGCCTAAGCTGGAATTTTATAGAACAGGCCAAACACATTGGCATTTTGAAAATGCAATCACAGACTTACAGTAATAGCTGCAAGCAAAGTTCAACTGCATAACAATCACAGTTTAACAACAGGACTTATACACTGCATGTACCAAAACAGCAAACGTACACCATAAATATGCATATTATGTATCAATAACAAAAATACGATGGAAGACTTTTAATCCAAATGCTTCGAATTCACATAAAATTAATCCCCATTAAGATATAAATGATTTATCCACATTTTAAAACATTTCATATCACTACAGTCATAATCTTTCGGTTTGGAAATCTTTCTTTTTTAAGAATCTGTTCATCCTTCAGGACTCATCTCACATTATTCAACAAATATTCCTTAGTGCTTCTCATACACCAGGTACTATTTAAGGTCCCAGTGCAATGCTGACCAAAAGGACTAAGATGTTGCGAATGTTGAAATAGAAAAAATTGCCACTGGCCAATATGGCAACTGAGCACTTGAAATGTGGTGGCAACTGTAAACAGAATAACTTAATTTTTAATTTGAATTAATTAATTCAAATCGAAATAGCCAAATGTGGGTAGTGGCTATTAGATCGGACAGGGCAGCCCAGTCCTAAGTATAGAGGTAAACAAGATAGACAAAAACGTTACCTTTGTGAAGTTTATAACTCAGTGTAATAGAAAGACATTAAACAAATAAACCAATAAATACGTCATGTAAGGTGGTAATTGAAAGTGGTCCCTTTAGGAAGGGTATTTAAGGAAGGCTTCTCTAAAGAAATGTGGATTACGTACATGCCTGTCTATATACGCCTATGAACCCTACACTAACATATAGCACAGAACTCTATACAAATGCTTTTCTTGTACAACTGTACTCTAGCACCTACCATAATATAGTTCTTGACCAAGTGTGGAGAAGTAATCTACAAAGCTCCCCAAACTGATCCAGTCATGTAGTGTTCAAAATACACCAGCAACTCAGGATTTAGAAAACGTGGAAAGAGAACACAGCAAACACAATCTGCTCTTTCCTCCTATCCAGTCTCATACAGCTTTTGAGCCTCACTTCAAAACACAGCAATGCGGAGCAAAGATCTCCTTTCTTTCTTCTCTTCCCCAGCTTTTGCTGTGAACGAAGTCGCTTAGCCTCTGCCGCATCACACTCCTCAGCCATTGCAATACACTTTTAACAGGCTGCTTCACGCAACACCGCATTTCTTTCGTCTACCACTAGATTTACACTTCCCATAAAGCAAGTTTCTAAGACCTTAGAGGTCCTCTGCCGCTCCTCCACATAAAACACCATACAGACACTCAATTAAGAGTTAATGACTTTACAGAGGATAGGGATACACAGGAGAGTATTCATCTAAAAATACGACTATAAACTTTGTCCTTTCTTTTTACACTCGGAAGTAATGAGGCAAAGTGACAGGCTCTAGGAGACGGAGTAAAAAAGCAGCTCAGAGTTGCCAGAAAAAATGCGAAGTGAAAAAGGCGGAAACTGGAGATTCCACAGCCCTCGACGTACAGTCTTCCACACCTTCCAATCGTACCTCTGGGGAGTGAAGGTGACCTCAAGCCCGCTTGGAATCAGTCAGTGCCGGGTGGACGGCGGCGCAGCCCCCTTCCAGCGCCCAGTTTGCGGTCCGACTCCGCCGCGCCTTTCCGCGGGGGCCCGGGCCTTGTGCCAGCCTGGCTGACTGTGGCCACGAGTTACCTGCTTGTCTCGAGTGAAGAATAGCGCTCCGGCAAAACCTGGAGGCAGCGCTGGAAAAACCGCACGTGCCGATCCCGCAAGAAATCCAGCCGCTCTCCCTCACCGCTACCCGTTAGCTTCTCGTCCTCAGTGGCCGCCATGCTGCTCCGGAAGCGACGTCCGACGCAACCCGGAAACAGTTGGCGCGCGGAGAGAAACCACCTTCCTGGGCTGACCCGGAGTTCCTGGGTGCGGGGACGTGTTCCAGCCGCAGACTAAGCCAGTATTTGAAACTGCTGTCATCTGGGTCTTGTGCAACACTTCCACTCCGCGATGTCTCCCTAGCTAGCGCATGACCCAACCTTTTCTACTCAAAGCCCTCGAGACTTGCAAACACCTCGCAGGGCCTTGGGAAAATCCAGTCCACAAATCCCTCCGTCAGAATTTTTATCTTGGGAAGCGCAAGGTCAGAAGCATCAAGTTCGCTTTGAGACAATTCTGGCTCTGTAGAACGTGAGAATGGTATATCTGAAAACCGGGATGGATCAGTATAAACTTGCTAACATTCATTTTTGGAGGGCCAGTTTTAAGCTGAATGGTTAGGGAAACTAAATCAACAAAAAGCAAAAACAAAACAGTGGAAGTAAATGTTTATTGACACTACAAAAGTTCAGAGACTTTCCTAATCCTCTCTGGATACCAGGAATCAATTACAAATATGTGTACAATGCCACACACACATACAACAGGTGCATTCATACCTATGTGTGACTGCTTGCCCCATTCTTTTACAAATCTTAGAGTTTACTTTCCGTGAGTCGACGTGTTATAAAGAATCAATGGTGCATTAATCTGCAACAGCAAAATAAGCTCAACATCTTCTGCAATTAGCTGCATACTAAAAAAATTAAACATGCTTCTAGTTTTTTGTTTTCTAAAAATACGGATTTAAGTTGCTTTAGCTGTTATACTGTGCCTTTTAAACTTGCATGAGGCATTCCTGGGTAGCGGGGGTGGGGTGGGGTGGAATCCACTCAATAATAGAACTAAACTGGGTTCCCTGTAATCAACTTAGCTAATCGAATTTTTAGCATAATTTTGTTAGCTTTCCTAGAAAATGTAATTTTTTTTTTTTAGACGGAGTCTCGCTCTGTCGCCAGGCTGGAGTGCAGAGGCGTGATCACAGCTCACTGCAACCTCCACCTCCCGAGTTCAAGCGATTCTCCTACCTCAGCCTCCCGAGTAGCTGGGACTACAGGCGCCCACCACCACACCTGGCTTATTTTGTATTTTTAGTAGAGATGGGGGTTCACCATGTTGGCCAGGATGGTCTCATCTCTTGACCTTGTGATCCACCCACCTCGGCCTCCCAAAGTGCTGGGATTACAGGCTTGAGCCAGCACACCCGGCCAGAAAATGTATTTCTTAAAAAAAAAAAAAAAAAACAGCTCTATGTGCTGGGGTAATCTTACACTTATTCAACAATCCGAAGTGCTCTGAATAATTTTTGGTACTAGTAACTACTTATTCACAGGTATTCCTGCATGTCTTTACAGGCAGATGGATACTAGGCTGTCCTTGGTACTTCCCTACAAATATGGAGCTTACAGTCCTTGGCCCTTCAGGTGTGCCCAGTCTGGAGTTTTAACTGTTACTACAATTAAGATCTCACACTTAACACACATACCCCCAAATGCCGGAAGATGTTCAAAGTGGAGTCTTATACACGTTTAACTCACTGGAATCAGCTATGAATACTTTATACATTCTCAGAAAATTAATTCTAATAAACATGACCCTTAAGTTAGGGAAGCCAAATATTTCATCTGATTCTCAGCTCAAAGACTAGTAATCTGACCCAAATCTGGAGGAAAAATTTGCTACGTGGGACTCATTGAGAGATAATATAGTATGCCTCCGAGGTCAATAAAAGGCTTTCCATGAGTGATTTTAGCCATACAAGATTTTTGGCATATGCAAAACAGAATGAGAATTATAGAACATATATATAATTGAATATTATTTAGCTATTATATGATGTTTGAGTTATGCAAAAACTTAGGAAAATATGTGTAATGCAATTATGGCATAGTAATTAATGTACTATATGACTACTAATTTTAAAATATGTAGGTATGTTTTTTGAAAAAGTTACCCTGGATGGGTACTTTATAAATTTCTTCTTTAGTATTTTTTTCTCTATTTCTTCTTAATATACTTTTTTCCCCCAGGCTTACTCCACTTTATTTTTCTTGTATAAAAACTCCATATTGTAGCCACTGCCTGAGCCTGGGTCCTCTGCATGGAGACTGTGGTGTGGGTCTTGAGCAGGCGGTCAGTGAATTCCTGATAGGGAGACTTGGTGAATACAGTCTCCTTCCAGAGGTCGGGGGTCAGGTTGCTGTAGGCCTTAGAGATAGCATCAAAGGTGACCTTAGTGAGTTGCCCTGGATGGCAGTGCAGCCCCTGGCTGAGGTGTAGCAGTCACCAATACTAGCCATCATCAGCATCTTCTTGGCCATGGGGGCCAAGACAACACCAGTGCCCCTGGGCAAAGATGCACCAGCACAGAACCATGGCAGTCTGTCACCTTGCAAGGGATGGTGGATGGTGTGGGGCTTGCCAACCTTGTTCCCCCAGTAGCTTCTGCGCATGGGGACAATGGAGAGGGTGGCCAAGATGATGGCCCTGCGAATGGCAGTGGCAACCTCCTCGAAGCACTTAACACCTAGCCTGATGTGGCCATTGTAGTCCCGGATGGCAACAAACACCTTGAATGTTGTGCACTGGCTGGTGTGGGTCCACTTCTGCACTGGCATGTTTTCAAAACTTCATCCTAGAGAGAGGCCTCCAGGAAAACGTCAATAATCTTAGTCTCCTTGATGGGCAGGGAGAAGAGATAGATATCTTTCAGGGACTTATCTTCATGTCCTTGATCAGGCAGCCCAGCTTGGTGACAGGCATCCACTCCTGTCCTCGGCCTTGCCTCCACAAGCTCCGCAACCCTGCCCCAGCCCCGGCCACTGCTGCAACCCCAGTTCCCCATCCCAGGGCCCTCTGGGGCCTCCAGGCGTCCCGGGCCCCCCACTGCACTGGCATCATCTGCTGTTTGGTGTTTTCTTAAGAAGAAGATAATGTACTTTTTAAACCAATATAAGAAATGTTTATTTGACATCTTGTCTATGAACCTGTAATGTCTATGAACTCTGCAACTGAAGACATTATCAATTGTGTTTATCTTACATCCTTTATATAAAGAATCTATATAAGAAATTCATCATTTATTTCAGATTCAGCTAGAAAGACTGATTTCTTCAGAGGAATTTCCATACTTTTCTTTATTTTAAAAAAGAAACAAATCAAAAAACAAAGCCTTAAGAATCACATCATCCAGAATGCTTACCTTAGACACAGGAATTTGAAAGCTGCATTTGCGTGCAACAAAAAGCAACACGTAAAAAAGCAACACATAAAACACATTTTCTGTATCTTGTAGTTTCTCAGTTCTGCTTTTAAATTCCCTCATCTTGCTTTATATCTTATTTATTTATTTTGTTGAGATGGAGTCTCGCTCTGTTGCCTAGGCTGGAGTGGTGCAGTCTCAGCTCACTGCAACCTCCACCTCCCAGGTTCAAGCAATTCTCCTGCCTCAGCCTCCTGAGTAGCTTGGATTACAAGTGTACCACACTGGGCTAATTTTTGTGCTTTTAGTAGAGATGGGTTTCACCATGTTGGCCAAGATGGTCTCAAACTCCTGACCTCAAGTTACATGCCTGCCTTGGCCTCCCAAAGTGCTGGCATTATAGGCCTGAGCCACCGTACATGGCCTCTTTATTTCTAAACCACTTCAAATTGTTACAAAAAAAGTTTCGGAGAACAAGTAACAAATAAAACCAGCACTCCTGTTTAAGGATCTTTTATGTGAATTTTCTCATTTTGCACCAATAATTATATAAATCAGAATTCAGTTTCTAAAATTTGAAAGCCATCTACTCTATTAACTATAAAATAAGAAAAGACTTTGACTGCTACTTATTGTACATTTCTGAGTCATTCAACCTAAATGTATCACATTAACAATAGAGATAATCTAAGATAAAAATTATAAGAAATAAATTTCCTATGTTTTTATGTATATAGTATCTTTCCCATAAGATGGGAACAAATTAAAGTTAGAAATATTTTATAATATGAAAAGTTTGAACTGTATTAAATTACATTGTGTTTCATATATAAAAGTTTAGAAATTTCAGAACTAAGTATTTTGACCAAATATGTTAATCCAAGAACTTTAAAAGACCTTATTCATTCATTGCTTCATTCATTCATTTTAGAGACAGGGTTCAGACTCTTACCCAGGCTGGAGTGGAGTGGTGCCATCTTAGCTCACTGCAACCTAGAAATCCTGGTTGCGAGTGATCCTCTCACCTTATCTTCCCAAGTAGCAGGGACTACAAGTTTGTGCCACCATATCCAGTTAATTAAAAAATTTCTTTTGTAGAGACCAGGTCTCCCTATGTTGCCCAGGCCGGTGTCAAACTCTAGGCCTCAATTCTCTTACATTGACCTCTGCAAGTGCTGGGATTACAGGCATGAACAACCATGCCCCACCTAAAACATTTTAAGTGCCATCAGGAGAAATCAGAGTATTCTAAAGCTGGCTTATTTCAGGTGATGTTTCAGAACAAAGAATTTTCCTATTTTGAGGCAAACAGAGGCAGAAAAGAAAACTGCATTAGCCAGGAAGATGTGAAAGACACAAAGATTTTATAAATAGGTGAAATCCAGAAAGGCTGAAGGAAAATTTGGAATTGCTCAAGGAAACTAAAAAGATTGTATCAATAATACAATTAAGTAGGGTATATGAGAGACATATTTTTAAAATAAATATTCTCTATATAAAACAAAGCATGCTTCAAACAAATACAAAATATTTATTACACAAAAATGTCATAACTGACAAACTACCAATTTGTTAAACATAGAAAAAGTACTAACGTTTTATAACTCTAAACAAAAACCACTTTACCTTTTGTTACTCAAGCTGACTTAACTCCAAGTTATAAAAGTTACAAAATTTTGGTTTAAAAATGTCATTGTATGATTGTTGTAATTTATTTTTCTATGCTATGACAAAAACAAAATATCTTTGAAATGTTTTGAGTATTTAAATTGAATAATGTTTGTAACATTAACTTATTTAAATAACTTTTATGTCATTAATAGGCCAAAATAAATATTAAATACCTTCTTGGTATAAGCAGGAATACTAATGACAAAGCCTCATGAAACTTAATACCTCTCAATTCACAATACAGCACAATAATCAATCTGACTAGGCTATATTTAAAGAACATGGTGAGTCACTCTCCCTGGTATAACTTAGTATGTTAACATTCTTATCAACTGAGTAGCAACTTTATTATCTCATATTCTTCTCTGTATTCCTTGTCTCCAGGTTGGAATAGCCCTGAGGAAAAAAAGAGAAAAGTGTTGTAAATATACAGGAAATTAAACAGAAAAAAAAAAAAAAAAACTCTACCTGATTAAATGCTAACTTTAAAATATACATATAACCTGCACTGCATGTTGTTTGTCTAGTTCATATGGTCATGTAGGTTTGCAAACCTCATTAAGGTTTTATTTCTGGCTCTTGCTCTCAAACTGATTGACTGACAAACCAATCAGTTAATCTACGTATTAATCTATCAATCTTTCAGTCATTCTTTTTCAATATTACTCTTATTAAAATAAATATTAATATGAAAAAGGCAGAGAATGGCATCTACTAACATGAATGTAATATCTAGTACAATAGAGCATCAAGTAATACTTTTACTTTTATCTACTGTTTATTTTTAAATAAAAGTGACCTGAAAGACAAACATATATATGAAAAATATAATTTATAAATAGTAAATGCATAAAATATAAACATGCAGCCATTAAAAATTATTAAATGAACACCCATTCCAACTCTTTCTTACCTGTGTGGAATATGTAAAAGTGGCCCAGAGCCTGTTGGTCCTATCTTTTTGGTTCGTTCTTCCCAACCTTTGGTAGGTTTGTAAAGCCTAGAGGGATCTCTGCTAACATTGTTTTCAACCTGTAATCAGATGTAAAGTAGTACCAGTTAATTATACAAACTCAGTTCGTATTAGTAAGTGAGTAAGAGCCTTAGTGCAGTTTTAAAAGACATAAGTGATATTGGCTAATAAAACCATTAACAACCTCTTTGGTAAACTTCTCATTGGGCTCACAGAGCTAAGTGAAAATTTAGACTACATCAATCTACTCATAAACTGTTAGTTTATTTCTTCTAGTTCTTCTATTCCTATTTTTCTATTTCTGTTATGAGAGAAATGTAATGCAGCTAAGTATGCTTGTGATATAGCCAGACAACAAATATAGAATAAGTATCCACCAATAAGTCTTCTGTTTTATCCATGAGGATCACCAACATCCTTAGTTCGGAGTACTACACAAGAGATTAAGCAATGCTCATAGCTGCCACTGATCTAAAATAGAGGTTCATACAGAAAAAATTTTAAAAATGACAAGTGGGGAGAATTCAGAGTGAAAAAAAAGGTGCTCATAATGTAAAGTGACAGAATTCAAGTAATAGTTGCTTAAATTTTACCATGTTATGCTTGCTAATAAGTAAATAAGTATGAAATTGAAAGCAGATATTATAGAAATAAAGTGAGATATAAAGGAATTAGATTTGGTGTCAGTATCCTTACAAATCAAGGAATTAGGACAATAACAATAAAAATGATCTCAGTGCAGAGTACCTTTTCTTTTAATTTTGCCAGTCTTCTTTGTTTTTGTGCCTTTTCATCTTCCTTTGCCTGTCTATCTAGAATTTTCAATTCAAGTTTATGTAAATCCTTAAAAATAAACAAACAAAAAAAACCCCATAGCATTAAGAAATCACTTGCACTAGAATTTGTTCAAAATTTAGTTGTTCACAAGTAAAATTAAATTACCTTACCTATTAATATTCCTTCAATATTAACTCTTTCCACCAAATGCTAAGAGCTTTATTTTCTCTGAATATAATGTTAGCACGTGCACATCCTTTTTATATTAGGTTATTTTCAGTGTCTCTTGTTTTACTTTAAGGTTCAACCTAAAACTCTTTTTTAATAAGATAAGCCCATTTTCATTCATCAATACAGGTATGTCTGATTTCAGAGCTCTTTTATTATTTTATATTTTCTGTTTTGTGGATTTTATTTTTTTCTAAGTCTTTTATTGCATGTCTGGCTTATTTGGGGGGTATGAGGAGGAATGGGAACTTTTGTTATTTAGGAAGATTTTTACATATGAACTAAAAGAAATGAACTAAAATACACAGTATTAATGTGTTTTGTCTGTATTTCTGTCTCTTATTTTTCTTTGTACCTCCCTTAGTTTTTGCTTTACAAATATTGCTGCTGTATGTTTTCATGTACTTAACAATTCGTAAGTTATATCTCATTTGCACACTTTTTCATTTTAAAGTCCCCTTCCTTGTCTTAATATTTTTTGGAATGAATTTCACCAGGATGTCTTTATTAGTATTTTTTTCTTGTATACATTTGTTTAAAATCACCTTTAATTTGACCACCAAGTAATAATCTCAATTCCTTTAAGTAGACAAATACCTACAATGCATCTAACTCAAGGGTACAGGGATACTCAAAAAACACACCACTAATGCCCTCATGGAGCCTACATTATGGTGGGGAAATGAACAAATAAGCAAGTCATCTATATGGTAAAGCCAGCCAGTTTGGCAGAGAAGACAAACCATTGAGCCTTGCCTATGGCTACCTTTCTAGTCTCATCATCTGTTTGTTCCCCTCTCTTGCTTAATGCCCTACGAATATTGAAGTGTTAATAGTTTCCCCCACAAACCACACTGTTAACACTCCTTCAAGCTGCTATCCATGCTGTTGTCTCTGCTATGAAAGACCTCACCTTTCCTTCCCTTCTTCTTCAAGATTCAACCTAAGTATCACCTTCTCTCTGCCACTCACAGCTGTGGTAGTATCCTCCCTGTACTCCCTCCTAAGTACTCTGTCCATACCTCAATCGCCACACTGTTTAACACATTATACTGGAATTTCCTACTTCCACATATCTTTCCCACTAGACTATAACCTACTAGAAGTTAGGGAGCATGGCTTACTCATTCTGGTATACTAATGCTATGTACAGGTCCAATATACAAGAAGTACTCAATTACTGCTGAACTGAATTTGGAAGTAATACCTCCATGTGTAGCATTTAAAAATTATTTAGGAAATAGATCTACTTACTCTTTCTTGAAACCTGGAAATTTCATCAGCAGCGGTTTTCCTTTTTTCTGCCTTTTCTGCCTTTTCCCTTATCTCCTTTTCAAGCCTCAAAAACTCTTCTTGTTCTTTCTTCTGCTGGGTGTAACTTTCTAGTAGTAATTTTAATTTAAACTGGCGTTGGCGTTCTTTCTGATGTTTTTTCTCTTTCTCTTCCTCTTCTTTTAACTGGGAAGCACATTTCATTGACATTTCTATACTTTTCTGTTTTTTCCAAGCTTCAACTGCCAATTTCTGTTTCTTTCTTTGCTCCTCTTTTTGCTTTTGATTATCTTCTTGTTTGTTATGAAAAAGCATAGGTGTGTTGTCTGCCTTTTCCTTTAACTTGAAAATTTCCTCCTTTTTTTGCTGCTTTTTAGTTTTCCAACTCTGAATTGACTAAATGATTTTTTTAAAAAAAGAAAGCAAGGGAAAAACATTTTTTAATAACCAAAAGTATTTTAAAATACAGCTTCGATTTCATCATTCTACAAAGAATACTGACTGCAGGATGCTGGATGCTTAGGTTTTTTGGCTTTGTTTTGTTTTTAACCAATGCAATTCTTTTTCTACTTCTGTTTTTTAAAAATTGCTGTCTCTTAAAACTCTGAATAATGGGTTATCCTTTTGGCCTTTCTCCTTCTCACTTAATCACCAGGTTCACAAGGACTACAACTCATGAACTATACTTCTCCTCTTTACCTGCTTTTTTTTTTTTTGCGACGGAGTTTTGCTCTTGTTGCCCAGGCTGGAGTACAGTGGCACGATCTCAGCTCGCTGCAACCTCCGCCTCCTGGGTTCCAGTGATTCTCCCATGTAGGCCTCCCAAGCAGCTGGAAGTACAGGTACCTGCCACCATGTCCAGCTAATTGTTTATATTTTTAGTAGAGATAGGGTTTCATCATGTTGGCCAAGCTGGTCTCAAACTTCTGACCTCAGGTGATCCACCTGCCTTGGCATCCTAAAGTGCTGGGATTACAGGTGTGAAATACCGCACCAGGCCTACCTGCTTCTTTTATTTTCATGAATTAATATCCCTTTCCTCTAATCATCTCATTTCTGCTTTCAAATTCTCTTTCTAGGCTTAGGACACTTTCTGAGTGCTCTTTAGTTGGTCAAATATCCAAAGAGGAATTAAGAGTAGGGTAGTTAAGAACATAAGTGCTGAAGCCAGACTATTTGGGACCAAATCTTGGCTTTGGTGTAGTGTTAGATGAGCCACTAAACTTCTCTGTCTTCATTTTGCTTATCTATAAAGTGGTAGGTAGTACTTCATGCATAGTATTGTTACGAAGATTAAATGAGTTAATGTCTGGCACACAGTACTTCCTAAGTATAAAAATACATAAATGAAATAGCTCAATAGTTACAGAGGGTACATATGGGTATGTAAAAATTATTTTAAATTCTAGCAGGCTTCTCCTTGCCATTTAGGGCATATTCACTGAATTAGTTTCCTCCCAAGTCAAGAAACTACTTCTTCATCTTTCCTTATGGTGTATCATTTGTTCCATTTAATAAATCTTTATGGTATGTGTACATACTATACACAAGGCAATGTGATAGGAACAGTAAAATAATGTTAAAACTATACCAAATGCCATCTAGTACAGTGCTACTCAAAGTACCAGTCTCCAAAAATATCAGTAATATATGTCAAAATGCAAATCAATGCACTGCTTCTTTCAATGTGAAAGTTTTCCATGGGAAAAAAAGTCAATTGAACTGAACAGTGCTCACTGGGTAGTTGATTCTGGTGCAACCATTTTACCCTACTATAAACATTAACAGTTTGCAAACCCAGATTTAGTCCATGGACCAAGTCTAAGCAGCACTGTTCTAGGTGAAATACAACATAGGCATGCCACAACACATCATATAAAAGGTGTAAGTGTTAGTGAAATCCTGAGGGAGGCTACTTATGTTTGGATGGGTAAGAAGGAGGCAACATCTGATCTGGGCTGATTTCGATAAGCTGGGAGTGGAGGGGGAAAGAAAGAATGGAGGTTCCAGAAAGAATAAGATAAGCAAGGGCATTCAGGTCAGAAAGTTCAGAGCATGTCTGAAAATTTAAATATATCTTCACTTATGAAAAACACAGGCTATATTAAAGGAAGTAGGAGATAAAAATGGTAAATTTCCTACTCAACATCTTAAACACCGTAGATTTAAAACTGAACTTCTGATATTTTCCTCCAAACTTCCCTCTTCTCCTTCATCACGCCCTACTTCAGTAAATGGCAGCTCCACTTTCACTAATCCTTCTATCACACCCCTACATCCTGCTCAGATCCTATCAAACTGATGACATATCAGTCACCAAATATCAAGAAATAGAGCAGATGGGAACAAGGAGAATAAGCTAGAATCTAAACGGTTGACTTTGATCACAAGAAGTGTGTCTGTTTCTTTTTCCTAAAGAGGTGGTTTTCACGAGCAGAATAAACTAGAGGACTTGGTAAAGCATAGATTGCTGGGCCCTACCCTCACAGTTCTAATTAGGTCTGGAGTTGGAACCTGCTACGTAAGGGCCCAGGAGATGCTGATTTTGCTGGTCTAGGGACCACTTTGAGAATCCCATGCTTTCACTATCCTGGGGGAAAAACTCCCAAATGACTTATATTTCAAACATTTTTCTTAAAACCCAAAAAGTCAATTTCCCTACATTCAATTTATTTCTAGGGGTGGGGGGCACAGGGGGAATGACAACAACAAAGATGCAGTTATTCCCTCTAAAACTTTAGACTAAGCATGGACTTAATTATTTCTTTAAGGCTCCTTAGGTATGCCATCTATGGAATAAACACAACCTTTTTGTTAAACCAGGTAAGTCAAACTTCATCATTGCTGAACTTTACAAAAAAAATATGACTCTGATTTACTATGGTTCTCAACCAGGGGCTACTTTTCCCCTCCAAGGAGCGTCTGGCTGGAGACATTTTTGAGAATCACAATTAAGGGGATATTATAAGCATTTACTTGCTAGAAACCAGGGATGCCATCCTAAAATGCACAGAACAGGCCCCCATAACAAAGAATTATCTAGCTCCAAATGTCAATAGTGTGTCAAGATTAAGAAATCCTGATCTAAACCAAAGCCAGAGTACATTTTTTGTAAAAAATAAAACTTTGTAGGTATCTGCTACAATCAAATGTCATTTTTTTCCCCTAGGGTAGCCAACATTTTGAGTCTTTAAGCAATAAGGTTCAAGTATAAAAATCTCAAAGAAACGTTTAATAATCAAAGCATTTTTCTACTGTCTGTTGATTTTTCTATTCAAAACAATGTGGCCTTTGCTGGTAAGATGACTTATTTCAAAAGTCACAGTGGATCTGGATTGCTCATATTTCTAAGAAGTGGGTATAGAGGACTGTACCCATAATCAGAGGCTTTTTGTCCCATTGTGTTATTTGTAAGGGAGACATATTTGGCTCTGAGGAAGTCATAGAACTGTAGTTCTATTAATTGGGTAAAATTGCTTAACTTTCTTTATATTTTATATTCTGAGAGTAAGTCTTGCTCAGGCTAGAGTGCCATGGTTCAATCATAGCTCACTGTAGCCTCAACCTCCTGGGCTCAAGCAATCCTCCTACCTCACCTTCCCAAGTAGCTGGGACCTTAGGTGCATGCCACCACATCGATTAATTTTTTTGTATTTTTTGTAGAGATAGGTTTTCACCATGTTGCCCAGGTTAGTCTCGAACTCCTGAGTTCAAGAGATCCGTCCACCTCAGCCTCCGAAAGTGCTGGGATTACAGGCACAAGCCACTGTGCCTGGCCAAAATTACTTAACTTTCAATGCCTCAGTTTCATCTCCTATTAGATTGTGAGGGGAAGGGAACTATAAACATACTTCATGAGATTGCTGTAAAGTTAATGAGACACGTTAGGTGTTTAGTGCCGTGCCTAGAACATAGAAACACAGAGTGAATAATAGCTATTATAATTGTTACCTCTTTTTTTCTTTCTTCTAGAGCCAGAAATTTTTGATACCATTTTTCATGCTGTTGAACTTCATCCTGTGTTCTTCCAGGAAGGTGTTCTAGAACTTCTTCCATAAATGTTGGCTTCCCTTTATGTTTGTTTCTCACCTTTACAAAGTTCTGGTGATCATAATCATCCCAGCCACCTTTTCGTCCTCCTGTTTGCTGAAGGAATTTTTCAAAATCTAGTACCTCTTCTGGAAGAGTACTTGGTGTTACTTTGTCTACATGAACTTTGCTTGAGATTGCTCTGAAAGCTTTCTCTGTTTCTGAATTACCCAAAGCCCATGTGTCAATTTTTCTTGATATGGCACTCAACTCATTATTAGTTGTTTTCTCTTCTTTAATTAACTCTTCATATCTAAAATTTTAAAAATAAAGTTTGAATAAGAAGACAATCCATATTAACCCTTCAGTTTCCATCAAATTTAAGCTACCTGACTTTATATTATCTTCTCCACTTAACATTATTAATATTTATAAATCTAAGCCTTAGTCTCCTCAGAGATAAAAACAATCTTTCCAATTCTTATTTGAGATTTTATAGTAACATGCATAAAAATGCACTTTATGAAAAGCCACCTAAACCCTAAAACAAGAGAGGTATTATATTGCTTTTGTGTAAGACTCAAATACATAAAAACAGAATGCATTATATACAAAAACCTAGTGGGGCCAGTTATTGACAAATAAAGGTCAGTAATTTAATATTAAAGTATTAAAATGAGTTTAAAACATACATCAACCTCTGCTCTTCTTTAAACGTGTTAATTGCATTTTCAATTTCTTCCATCATTTCTCTGAGCTTCTCAACAACTGTAAAAGAAACATGGAAAAATTATTGTGTCTGCTCAAAAGCGAATTTTTATTATTGTAACTGTTTCTCATTACAGATTTTTTCCCTATACACTCATATCATTATTATCTCCACTTTAGAGCTGAGGAAATGAAAGCTCAGAGATATCAAGTAACTGGCCTAAAATTACATAGATAACAAGTAAAAGATCAAGGGTTTGACCCAGCACCTGTCTGATTCCTAAGTCCACACACCCTGAGCCCTTTAATTTGTTGCTTTGATTCTCAGGAATGAATGGTACAGTAAGCAAAGAGGTAGGGATATAATTTGTGGGATTTTTTCCAAAAATCAGCATTTGTCCTAAATCAGTTTAACCTTTCCTTATGTATTAGAAATGCCTCTGAAAGGTAATTATTTCAAAAAACAAATGAAGGAAAAATACTGGGATAGGATTAAGGAAATCAATCTTTTTTCCCCTTAATTAGCTGTTTTTACACCTTTCTATAACAAAGATTCCTAATCCTGTAAATGACACTAGTATATGTGTTCTGCCTACCTTATAATTTGTAAGGATTTGATGATACTTTAATGGATCCACACAGAAATGCTGGATTACAGTTCTCCAGTGTAAACTTAGTAAGTGTTAACCGAGTTTAGCTCCATTAATGCCAAATAGAAAATACTAACACATAAGAAAGAGCATAACATTTAAATTTACTTACAATCAGGTGTAGGCTTCACGTCTTTTAACTGATGCTGAAGTTTCTTTACGTTGTTATGTATTTTGGCCAATTGTTGCTGGATTTTTGCTCCTATAAGGAAGTACGCACTTTAAATTAATTCTGTGACAAATGTGGTTACAATTCAGGATTCTACACTTAAGACTGATCACTACCAGTAAAAGATAGCCAAGAACAATCAAATAAAGAACAAAAGATAGTTATTTATGTTAAAACAACATTAATACTTTAAGTACCTTTGTTCTAAATAAAGCATCTTTTGATTTCTTCCAATATTTAAAAGCATAATGAGTTAAGTCTTAATACAGCCTGTGCTTAGGAAATGTCTTTTTTCCCTCTGTGTAGACTGAGTTATTTTAGATGTAAAGATTAGCAGTTTAAACATGGTTTGTTTTGATCTTTAATAGTGTTTCTTTTCTTTTTAATTTGCTATAATTTATGGAAATAGAATTTGGTCTTAACTTTATTCTGGGAATATTAAAACTGTCTAGTTAATTCTGTGAATACTCAAGAAACTTCCCATTGAGAGTTAATTTCATCTAACCAAATCCTCTAAGAAAGGGGCACATGATACTCATTGATATCACTATCACGGCCCTGAGGAGGTGCCTTGGGTATCATTCAGTGGTGTACTGTGCCACAGGTTGCCAAGCTCAACCAAAGGGCCAGACTGGGGTAAAATATTAGGGCCACAGTAAAACCTCAAAAGTAAATGAGAGTGGGAAAAATGTTTTCAGATGGTCTTTATCAGCAGCAGAAAGACCGGATTCTTCTTTCATATTTTTTTCTGAAGGAATAATCTTACTTTAATATTTAGGTAAATTATTAGGCTAATATCAAAATGTATTCCCATAATAGTAATATTATTATTTTATCATCTTGGGTACTTATGTACCCTCCTCTTTTTCATTTTTGAAACTTTTTCACAAATGAGCACGAAGCACTAAAGGCTCTGTACAGAAGTCCTTAAAAGCAATTTTTTTAAAATAAAAAGTTTACTTAGAGGTTTGCAGTCTGTGAATATCCAAAACAAACCTCTTAATACATATATGACAGCTTTGGCTTGTTCTGTGTTTTTAATTAAATTCAAGAATTCCATAAAGGCAGAAACTTTGTAGGGTCTTATTCACTGTTGGAATTTTAGGTCAAGAAACTTCTCTAATAAAGTAATTAGGAAAGTATTTTTTGTTGTTTTATTTTTGCTTTAATTTGATCAGCTACTAAAATATCATTACAGGGCTAATAATCTTTATTTTATTTATTTGGATATATAGACAAATCATTTAAGTACAATATGACATAAATGCAGGCTAAAATTGAGGCATGATATTTGAGGTAAGAAATAATAGGTATTTCTACTACTTAGCTGTATTATATGAAGGGAAAACTTCTCTATCTTTATACTAAGACAAGCATTCTTTCCTCTCCTAGACAGGACAAACATGAAGTGTTACTAAAGAATGGCAAAACTGTAGAACAAAGGAAAATAAATTGGTACAAATAAAGTTGCCTTAATAAAGGGAAAATCAAGTGACCTAAAATTTGCACAAAATTTTACTTAATGGCATTACTGAGACATAGAAAAACCAGCCTCCCAGTTGTCTACAAAAGAACTGAGGGAAATAAAGAAATATTGAATCAGGGGTGTCTAGATTTCTTAATGTATCAAAGAGAAGAGATAACTAGAAATCTGTTGTTTATATTGGGGTCTGCTATCATTCCAACAAAAGGAGAATGATTCCTGTCACTGCTTGACAAAGGATAACTTTTTAAAGTAGTGTAATCTCTTCTTTTAAAAAATCATGCAATCTTATATTCTGAAAGAAAAAAATTCACTAGAAATTTATTTTAATTGGTGATAAGGGAGTACCATAAGCAGTCTGATATCTACAAAGTAAATCTTAATAATTATAAATCTTAGTTATTTGATAACCATTATTTTTTCTTTAAGAAATGTTAAGTAGCTTTTTTACTATAAAGATTTTACAACATACAGCATCTAATGCTACAATGAAACAGTTATTCTCAGAATTCTTTAAGGGTGGTAACATTTAGTACACTGTTTACAATGATTAATATTCCTAACAAACAACAGAACATAGTTATGTACAATCTATCATAAGGTACTTTTTAATATATTATCACATCAGATGCAGGACAGCTCTCCTGAGGTAGAAATGACAGGTTTTAGAACGCAGACAAGGAAACTCAAGTTAACGCAATTATCTGACTTGATCACTTCATACACAACTACTAATTATAGCTTTGAATCTGTTGATGCTTACTGAGTCCAGGGCTCTGTCAACAATGCCAGAGCTAACATCAGATAGCCCAGAAAAATCATTATGCTTTTGAGAAATTTTAATAGTATTTGCTGGTTTATCAACCAAAAACAACTCCCAAATCCTCTTTCTTGTTAAATTGAAAGAAACAACAGAAAACAATCCAGTTAGTATGACTAAACAGTGACCCCAAAGAATAAATACATGTCCCTAAGAGACAAATGTTACCAACTAAAATACAGAGAATGTAACACAAATTTTCCAACTAAAATATAGAGAACTGACGCTATTAATAGAGAACACAACACAGTCAATGCACAAAGACAAAGGGCAGAGTAAAACTACAACTTAATATTGCTCAACAGGTTTTAGTTCATCATAAACTCAACTTACTTTCTGTTTTTCTGCTGTTAATCAGTTTATTTTCCAATTCTTCTAGCATACTATGCTCAATTCTGAAGTCACTTTTTTGGTTGTAGAAATGACTGTGTTTATCTTTTTCCATGTTAATAACTCTTCAGGAAAAGAAACATGGTATATGATTTAAATATATTTTTTAATTGTTTCAAACATGAAGACAATAGTATTTTATATTTGAATTAATTCATCTAGGGAACAAAAATAATTGGTTAATAAAGCTAAGGAGTCAAAACAGTCAAAATAGTAGTCAGAAAAGAGTTAATCTCAATAAAAAACAACTGTAATTTGAACTGCTATTTAAATCATATAATGATAATTTGAGAAAATGTGGATATACATTTGCTTTGAAAATGCATAAACATTTGGCTATCAATTCCAACTCAATCTCATTAGAGCCTGAAAATGGCCATCACTGCTGATAACTACTTTCAATAGTAGATACTGTTAACTTTGTAACCTTAGCCAAGATTATTAACCTCTTCTAGTATGAACCTCATCACTAAAATGCAAATAATAATAGCTCTCCACTATCTAATAGGGCTGTTATTCACATCAAATGAGTTAATATAAGTGGGAGATCTCGTATAGTACAGGTATATTATGGAAATGTAAGTTATTAATAATATTAATAAAACTAAAACTTCAAGAGACTAACCATCTTCAAAGACAGGAAATTTCATGTATTTAATGGCTACTGTCTACATTCACTTCAGAGCTATTTACAGCAGATCTTTTCTCCTTGGATTTAGTCCATCCACCAGTGAGGAATTCCTATTGTTAGTTTGAACCCCAAGATCAAACAAAAACAAAATAAAACCCTACTGAGAAACTTTTTGATTGGGCAAAAAAATTAATTTTCAAATTACTCTTCTGTTTTTTTGAGTCAGGGTCTGGCTCTGTCACCCAGGCTGGAGTGCCATGGTGGAATCTCAGCTCACTGCAGCAAGCAATTCTCCAACCTCAGCCTCCTGAGTAGCTGGGATTACAAGGGTGCACCACCATGTCCAGCTTATTTTTTTAAAAATTTTTTTGGTAGAGGCAGGGTTTTGCCATGTTGCCCAAGCTGGTCTTGAACTCCTGAGCTCAACTGATCTGCCAACCTCAGCCTCCCAAAGTCTGTGAGCCATCATGTCCATCCAAATTAATTTTCTTAATGTGTTTCTTTCTCCCAGAAGGTAGAAATTAATATGAATATTTCTCCGCTAATCTTGGATTTAGTAAGTGGTAGAGCATCTCTGGCCATTGACTTAATTCACACAACCAGAGAGGCAACTATCTATCATAGAGTTTCCTAATCTTTTCCACTTTGCCACACATAGAGAAGTTGGTTTTTTTTTTTTTTTTTTGAGACAGAATCTTACTGTCACCCAGGCTGGAGTGCAGTGGCGTGATCTCAGCTCACTGCAACCTCTGCCTCCTTGTTTTAAGCAATTCTCCTGCCTCACCGTCCTGATAGCTGAGACCATAGGTACCCACCACGCCTGGCTTTTTTTTTTTTTTTTTTTTTTTTTTGAGACAGAGTCTTCCTCTGTCACCAGGCGCCAGGCTGGAGGGCAGTGGCGCAATCTCGGCTCACTGCAATCTCCACCTCCTGGGTTCAAGCAATTCTCCTGCCTCAGCCTCCCGAGTAGCTGGGACTATAGGCGTGCTCTACCACGCCCAGCTTATTTTTGTATTTTTTAGTAGAGACAGGGTTTCACCATGTTGGCCAGGATGATCTTGATCTCTTGACCTTGTGATCCACCCACCTTGTCCTCCCAAAGTGCTAGGATTACAGTTGTGAGCCACCATGCCTGGCCTAATTTTTTTATTTTTAGTAGAGACAGAGTTTCACCATGTTGGACAGGCTAGTCTCAAATTCCTGACCTCAAGGAATCCTCCCACCTTGACCTCCCAAAGTGCTGGGATTACAGGCATGAGCCACCATGTCTGGTTGCCCATAGAGAGAAATTTAATATTCATAAGGCATGAGGAGGTAGACAGATGAGACTGCCCCAGAACCTACCATACTGCTCTAAAGGTTGAGGGGATCATGTCTTAGCATGTGTGGCTAGGTGGCTTATATAAGAAGTATATTTGTGAGAAGTAATGGGTAGATAAAGATATCAAATAGATATCAGTCCACATGGACTGACGACAGATATGGAGTCCTGTGTTGAGGACTGGGAAGCTCATCTAGGCTCTGGTTGCAGATGGGGGAAATCAGTATGATCAAAAAGAAATGTCTGCTATGGACACAGGATATGCTACCACAGTAAGTTATGTGTTGCAATTTCTGGATTAGAAATATTCACCTATAAAGATATTCAAAATATGCTAGTTAATAGAGACAAGTTGCCAAAAATGAAAATATGCTCAACCTCCTCAATAGAAGAAATGCAAATTAAAACTATATCACAGTAACACTGCACACCAATCAGAATGGCAAAAAATATCACAAATGTAATATATTTTGTTGACAAAACTGTGAGAAAACAGGTCTTCTCATACACTGTTGGTGGAACTATTAAGTTGTCTACAAAGGGCAATTTAGCAATGTTTATCACATTTGCAAATTCATTTATCTCTGACCCAGCATTTCCTTTTAGGAATGTATCCCAAAGATATACTCACAAAGTTGACCTATATGGGTATGGTAATTAGGTGTAGCATTCTTTGTTATTAAAAAAATTGAATATAACCTAAATGTCCATAAATATGGGCAGGTCAAATAAATCATATTACATTCATACACTGGAATATGGAATATGTGGTACTGTGTTCTAGGTACTGACAGGAAAAGACCTCCAAGATCACTCTTTTTTTATAACAAAGTTTTTGTAGGAAAATGTTAGACATATTCAAAAGTACAGAATGATAAATGGACCCCCATATGATATGCCCTTTATCTCACCCTGATTCAGCAGTTTTATCTCTCATTTCATTTATCCATCTATCTTTGCTTTGTTTAGCTTAAGTATTTTAAAGTAAATCCATTACATCTATCTTTGCTTAGCTTATTTTCAAGTAAATCTCTTACATTATGCAATTTCACCCCAATAAACTTTTGTGTGTGTCTCTAAAGATCACAGATATTTGATTTACCTAACTATAATGCTATTGTTGTGCCTAGCAAAATCTACAATTCCTTGCTATCTAAGACATACACTTAAAAAAAAAAGATGCAGAGCAATGTGGACAGTCTGCTACCATTTACACAAAAAGGGAAAAATCTGAGTATATATTTATATTTCTTTATAAACACATAAAATATCTGTGGAAGGATACATAAGAAACTAATAGTACTGGGTTATTTCAGTGGAAAGGAATTGGGTGGCTTAGGTCAAGGGTAAAACTGAGACTTTCCACTGGTTACCCTTTGAATATTTTTATTTTTGAACTATATTACCTATTCTAAAAATAAAACAAAATGATATTATACATTGTGTTTTTTCCTTTATGTTTATGTGAACTGTTAGATAGAAACACTCTTCCAATGAGTTTTTCTAATATTCTTTCAGTGAGTTTTTCCAATGCCTTACAGGAGGTGAAGAACCCTGCTGCTCAGAACTGTAAGACACACTGGTTGCTGTATCTACGGATATTAACCATCTGGTAGACATTACCCTATCTAGAAAGAAACATAAAACAGAACCTCTAACCTAGAATCTAATTCTATCTAGAGTAATGCATTTTGGAGATGTTTAAAACTTGTATTTTTTCAAATTCTAGATACTAAAGATACAGGTATTAGCAATTTCAAATATACGATACATGATTATTAACTATAGTCACCATGCTGTATGTGAGGTCTCCAGATCTTTTCTATTTTACAACTTGTACCCTTTGACCAACATCTCCCTGTTATCCCCACTTCCACCTCATCACCCCCTAACTCCTGGTAACCACCATTCTATTCTCTGTTTCTGAGTTTGACTTTTTTAAGACTCCACATATAAATAAGATCATGCATTGTTTGTCTTTCTGTATATGGCTTATTTCACTTAACATAATGAAAATACTTTGCTAAGAAAGTTGATCTCAAATATTCTCAACTCTTCACACACACACAAGGTAACTATGTGAAGTGATGGATATGTTAACTAGCTTGATTGTGGTAATTATTTTGCAATGTATATGTACATCCAGACATCACACTGTAGACATTAAATATATATAATTTTTATTTGTCAATTATACCTCAATAAAGTTGGGGGGAGAAAGGTGAAAGTATTATATAAATGCAGGGAGAATTCAATCTCCAAAAGCTACAATATGGCATAGCTTTTCAAAATTCAAACAATATACTTTTGCATTGGTAGAATTTCTAAATAGAGAACTGCCACCAATTCTGATCTAGAGACCTTTTCCTTACAATAGATTCCTTTTCTCTTGTGTTCTCTGGCAAATTAACATCATGCAGGTTCAAAGCAACGTTTTGATAAAACTCTCAACTGTAGGGTAGAGTGGGGTGCCTTGAGTTCTAATTCTTTTTAACATTCCTCATATTTATCATATGCTGGTACTGCTGACAACATTACACATTCAATAAATATTACTAGTTGTTTAAAGAAAAAGTTCATATATATTGAAAATTTAAAATAAATGGAAGCTTCTCAAATAGCTTGGTCATAATGTGCAGAACGGATTTGAAAGGGGCAGAAACCAAGGAAGTGAGATCAATTAAAAAACCACTTCAAAAAAAAAAAACATAAGAGTACAGACTTTTCATTAAAATGATTCACTGTCTTCCTTCGTGAGATCACACCCACGTATTCAAACAGGCTTGCTGGTGAACAGCACTGGTTAGTAAGAATAATAACGGCTTTCAGAGTGGCTGGAGCCAGACTGAATCCCTCAAACACCATTTATTAACCATGTAACCTATGAAAAGATGTTTATTCTCTATGATTCTCAACATCCACCTTTGTAAAATAGAAGAGCAATTTAAATATATAATGTTCATCATTTATAAAACACTTTCATACATACATAATAAAAAAATTCACTTCCTCAAAAATATTTACCAGGCATTTAACTATAGTTATAAAGTGAAAATATATTAGATCTGTTATTTGTTAAACAAAATCTAAAGAAATAGCTGTTTTGTTTCCTGTGAAATACACAGATCCAAAATGGCAAAAATAGAGAAAATCGAAATAACTCTAGTTATAATTAACTTTACATTAAACAGGCTATTATCATTTGTCCATTTCACATCTCCCATCTTTCTCTTGTTACATTTGACAGGCTAGTGTTTAAAATTTTGTAGCTTAATGTAAGACTAGGTAGGGTATAGTTAATTTTTTAATGTCCATTATAAAATGTCTAGTAATATTATTTAAAGATAATATTCTTATACTTACTGATTTTTAAATTTTTCTGCTGTGCGTATGAATTCTGCTTTCTTAGTCTGATTAACTTTCTGCTTCCAGTTTTGAAGATGAAAAGAACGAATTCCACCTGAAGTACTAAAACAGCCATCATTCTGCATTGAGAACAAGAAAAACTTAATAGAAATGAAAACAGTAAGACATAAATGTGGAATTTTTTTAGAGAGATAAATGTCAATTATTCTTGGAGGATAATTTTGGGGCCAATCTTATTTAGCTTTTAAAAGTACATTTGCGAAATAAGGAATACCTATCAAATGAAGGAATATATATCTTACAATGCTAAACTGAGTAAGAAATGTTAAATATCCAGGGATTATATGCAAAATAATCGAATTCACTCATTCAGTCATTTAACAAATATGTACTGAACACTATGAAGTGAGACAGGCTACATTAGACATTAAAGAAACAGTGGTGATCCATAATAATATGGCCCCTGTCTCAAAGTCTAATGAGGAAAAACAGATTTAAAGAGAAAAGAGTAAATAATCAATAAAACAGAAACTCCACCAGGTGCAGTAAGTGCTATTAAGAAAATAAACATAAGGGCTGAGATGGAGAAAGTGGAGCAAGGGTTTGCTTTTTCAGTTACAATGGCCACAGAAGATCTATTTGAGGGGATGACTTTAAGTAAGAATGGAGCCAGCCATCACAGGAACAGTAGGAAAGTGCTTTCCAAGCACAGGGATCCACATGTGCAAAAGCCCTAGAGCATGAAAGACTTTGCCGAGTTCAAGCAGAGAATGGCCAATTGTGACACAAGATTAGTAACAGTGGGGATCTTGGTAGGAGATAAAAGTAGAGAGGTAGGTATGTGCCAGATCATATAGACATTTTAGGTCACTTGGGGGGGTCAGAATTTTATTGAAGAGTTTTGAGTAGGGAAATGCCATGGTACATTTAATTCTTTTAAGAAAAATTTTCTGGCTATTACTTGGAGAATAAATTGATGCGAGATGTGGGGATGAAGTGAGGCAAGAATAAAAGCAGGAGGATCAATTAGGTACTTGGTACAGCTATACAGGCAAGGAATGACAGTGTCCAGGACTACAAGGCTGACAGGAAATAAGACTTAATGTGTTTTGGAGGTATCACCAAGAGGGATTGCTGAGCAACAAAAATGGGTTGTGGGAGATGAGGGGAAAATGAAACAAGGCTTTAAATTTCTAAGAGGAAAGAAAAAAAAAGTAGTAAATCTAAATCTAGGAAATATATTTTAAGTTGAGATATAAATCACATATCATAAAATATGTTTAAAGTTTACAATTCAGTGATTTTTAGTGTATTCACAAAGCTGTGCAACCATCATGACTATCCAGTTTCAGAATATTTTCATCATACCAAAAAGAAACCCCATACCTATTAGCAGTCACTCCCCATTCCCCTTCCTCCGAGCTCCTGGCAACCATTAATCTACTTTCTGACTCTATGGATTTGCATATTCTGGAGAATTTATATAAATGGGCTAGTACAGTATGTAGCCTTGTCTGTCTGACTTCTTGCACTTCGCATTATGTTTTCAAGATTCATCTGTGTTGTACCATGAATCAATACTCCATTTCTTCCTACGGCTGAATAATACTTCATTATATGGATCTACCACATTTTGTTTATCCACTAATTAGTCATTAGCTGATGGACAATTGGTGTGTTTCAACTATTTGGCCAAGTTACTCTGAACATTTGTGTACATGTTTTAATGGGAATATGTTTTCAATTCTCTTCATTTTACACCTAGCAGCAGAATTTCTGGATCATAAAGTAACTATTTTTTTACTCTCCCATTTAAAAAAATTGGGTTGCATAGCAAGGCCTGGTGGCTCATGCCTCTAATTCCAGCACTTTGGGAGTCCAAGGTGGGAGAACAGCTTGAGCGCAGGAGTTTGAGACCGGCCTGGGCAACATAGCAAGATCCTGTCTGTATAAAAATAAATTTAAAAAAAAAACAGCCAGGCATAGTGGCATGATGCTACCAGGAGGTCACCTCAGGAGGCTGAGGCTGATCTCTTGAGTCCAGGAGATCAAGGCTGTAGTAAGCCATGACCACACAACTGCACTCTATCCTGTGGGGACAGAGCAACACACTGTCTCAAAAAAAAGGTTGGGGTGGTTGCCCTTTTATTGTGAAGAGCATTCCTTATATACTGAATGTAAAAGTCCCTTATTAGACATATGATTTGTAAATATTTCCCCCCATTCTCTGAGTTGTCTTTTCACTTTCTTGATAATGCCTTTGAAGCCCAAAAGTTTTTAACTTTTTAAAAAACTACCAAACTGTTTTCCACAGTGGTTGCACCATTTTACATTCCCACTAGAAATGTATAGGGATTTCAATTTCTCCACAAACTCACCAATAACTGTTATTGTCTATCTTTTTTATTACAGTCACCTAAATGGGTATGAAGTAATTTCTCACAGTGGTTCTGATTAGTCAATAATGACTAATGATGTTGAGCATTTTTTCATGTGCTTATTGGCCACTTCTAAGGAATGTCTACTTAAATCCTTTCTCTTTTAAAAAATTTGGTTGTCTATTTATTGTTGAACTGTAACATTTATATATGTTACTTAACTTTTATGGGAGGCTATTGTTTTGGACAGAGCTCCAGCAGTAGGCCCCAACAGACCAGACAAAATAAAAAGAGTCATTTATGCTAAGTGCCACATGGTCAAAATGAAACTTTAAGGAAATAGGTAAATTTCCCCAATTGACCATTTTTTTCCTGAAAACAAGAGATGCACAGCAACCAATCACAAAGGGTCCAGTCAACCTGAGTTCAACTAATAAGGAAAGCCTCTTTACTTTTACCCTCGTAAGTTACCTGAAGTAAACTGATGTTAACCAATCCTCTTTCTTTTTTAATTGAAGTAGTGAAGGTCTTATGTTGCCTAGGTTGGACTCCTGGGCTCAAGTGATCCTCTCACCTCAGCTTCCTGAGTACCTGGGACTACAGGCACATGCTACTGTGCTCAAATCCAATCTGCTTTGCTCTTTTAGCTTCAAAACATTCTTTCATAATTGAGATTGTATTGGTTGTGTTGAAGATCAGTACACACACATTTCAATTTGCACACAATTTTTAACATAGGTACCAAAAATCTAAAATGCCATGTGTATATTTCTTTTTCTTGAGATGAAGTTTCACTCTTGTCATCCAGGCTGGAGTGCATTGCTGCGATCTCTGCTCATCACAACCTCTGCCTTCCGAGTTCAAGTGATTATCCTGCCTCAGCCTCCCGAGTAGTTAGGATTACAGACACCCACCACCATGCCCAGCTAATTTTTGTATTTTTAGTAGAGACAGGGTTTCATCATGTTAGCCAGGCTGGTCTCGAATTCCTGACCTCAGCCTCCCACCCGCCTTGGCCTCCCAAAGTGCTGGGATTACAGGCATGAGCCACCACACCCGGCTGCCATGGACTTTTAAAAGTTATTCCAGTGACTTTCCAGCTTAAATTTTGAGGGAATTTTTCCTTAAGAGGCGATCAAGTACCAGTATCTTCACATGTTGATAAGCTATTACATACATCCCAGCAACTCACAATTACACATACACATACCACATACACTACATACTTTTCATTTTCAATCTTTCACAACACACTAACAATGTTATTAGGAAAATACAGCATTACCATAACCAAAGACGTCACAGAGTGCTCACAATTCTGACAGGGAAAGCCATGATCAAAGAGTGGTTTTTGTAAGGAAACATTTCTACTAAAAAACAACATGGCAATGGAAGTAATTTAAAGTGTTCAAGACATTAAATGCAGGACCATGACTCCATATTGTCATTTGGTATGCTTAGTATTAGAGGATATAAGAACTAACCCCCTATCTATGGAATGTTAAGCTGACACCCAAGATAGTCAAAGCCTTCCATAATTTAATATTCCACACTATTTTGTAGTTGTACGAAAAAATTAACAACCTGCAAATGATTTCACCTCTTAAAACATTTATACTTAAAAAATAGGATGAGGTAGGATTCTCTCCTTAAAAATGTTCCCAGAGTGACTAAAAACTTGCATTTACAAGATAGTTGATAAAAATATGCCTCTGGATTGATGGTACAAGAAGAGAGACAGGACTACTAAGACACAATAGATGATATTAATCAGAGTTGGCTTCCTTTTTTTTTTTTTTTTTTTTTTTTAAAATCAAACTCATTTTATTGCCAGACAGACTTGGTTTCTTTCCCTCAGCCTTCATCGAAGCTCTCCTTGGTGTTAGTTTGTTTTCTGCAGGTAAGTCTTCTTTAGTTTCTTGTTCAGCCACTTTGGCCAGTTTTCCTTTTACTCCCCTTTTCCCTTTGGTTTGTACTTTGTGTCTGAAGATTTATCCTTTCATGTTGCCTTTTTTGGCTTCATTTCTGCTTTTGTAGAAGCAAGTTTAGATGACAACTACATGAATCTCCTCTTGGGCTCTTCCTTCACTGTCCCTTCTGCTGAACTGACCTTCCTCTTGGGCTTCTTGGCAGCAGGAAAGGTAACTGCCTGGTGCTGTGCTTGCAAGCCCTGGTGTGTGAGCCTCTGTGGAGCTGGGATGCCTGGCTATTGCTGCTCCTCCTGCCACCCCAGCTGCTGAGATCCCCATTTTTTTCTATTGTTTCTGGGTTTTTTGTTCCTACTTTACAGAATCCACTGTCCTGTCATGCCCTTTGGTGATTCTTATTCTATTTTATAGAATGGGAGGCTGCCCTGATTCATGAATCGCGAAAACAAGCCTATTCGATCTACATTGAACTAAATTTGTTGTAACTTTGTTCAACACGTATTTTAGATGTAAGACCCTTATCAACATATAATTTGCAAGCATTTTCTCCCATTCTCTGACTTACCTTTTTACTTTCTTAAAAACGTTCTTTTGCAGCAGCATAATCCCGGGTCACTGAAACCTCCACTTCCACCACCCCTGTTCAAGTGATTCTCCTGCCTCAGCCTTCTGAGTAGGTGGGAACACAGATGCACACCACCACGCAGGGCTAATTTTTGTATTTTTAGTAGGGACGGGTTTCGCAATGTTGTCCAGGCTGGTCTCAAACTCCTGGCCTCAAATCATCTGCCCGCCTGGGCCTCCCAAAGTGCT